ATTTTATATTTAGCCAAATGCAAACCTTAGCATCATTAAAGTCCTTACAGCATTTATTACAGTCATTAGAACAAAGCCTCAGTGTAGCTCCCAGTACAAACTTTCAAAGGTTAGACTTTAGTCACATTGAGCATTCCAACTGGAGAGTATGAAATATAACTTAATATCTTATTGCCAATGCTTTCCACTGAATTTTCCTGGCAGATATTCCCCCTCACGCCCCTCGTAAAAATGAACATAGGAAACAAATAACAACGGCAGCATAATACAGAGCTACACCTTGGTGGAAAATTTGACCAGTAATGAAATTTCGGACATCATACCCACTGCACGTCAGCTATTATCCAACACGGGAGATTGTCATAAACAACCCTATAAAACCCACTGCTTAGCAACAAACAGCATGTGGTCATAAGATTCAGTTTCAAACAGTATCTTGAAATAAATTGGCTTCATACATAAACCCAGTACAAATTAATTTACTTGTTAATTTAAGTGACATACAGCAAACTTGGGGTAAAAAGAGTAGACGGGAAAGGATCTATTTATAGTCAGAGTATAAAACCACCCCAGCTTTATTCTAAATTGACATTCTCAGGCTAATTCTTCTTTTATTGTCTAAGTAACAAAAAAATTAATCAAGTTAAAATGTTTTTCACATGACAGTGCAAAATCTGTATGTAATGTTTTTTTTTATTATTATTTTAATTAGTTTCATTTAGAAATGGTAACATGTCATGATGTTATAAGTCTACAGTCAGCGAGATTGTGGTAATACATTACCAGACCCCTCTTCTCTTGGAAGCTGTCCAGCGGTCAATGGGTGAGGTTAGAGAGTCATAGAGGGAATGTTTTGTCTGTTACCAGGAGACTATGATCAACTATGAATTTACTATCTCGCAGTACATGTTAAGGACTTAAAACCTGACTCAAAGGACATTTTAGAAGTTAAAAGAAGGGACCATATCTACAATTTAAACTATATATTTCTTGTAAATTTTTATTTTTACTCCTCTACAGGATGATGTTGAGAACATTCCTACAAGACCGGGCCTAGATCAAATGACCCTCGTCATTGAGTAGGATAACGTAAATGGAGGCCTAAAGCCTTAGGACGTACGCCAAGAGAGACCCAGTGTAGGTGGTCAATGTCAGGAAGCTCCAGGAGGACCGAGGGGATTTGTGGAATAACAAACTATACTGATACTAAAAAGATAAAGAAAACAAAAACATTTTGAGATAATCTTTTAGAGAAAAATTAACATAGAAACAAACTCGATACTGTAACAGACTGTTGCAATCATTTTTCATGGATCTATGGAGTCAGAATATTCTCACGGGAGCAAGATGGGTAGAGTTGGTAGTTGTGGCATACATGTCTCTCCAGGTGTTTGGCATGGTCTCAAAGGCTTCCTTGAATACGGCAAGTATTAAAGCATATTATTTTGCAGATTGTTTACTATTTCACAAAGGAAAATGTTAAAAAAGATGCAATCCTCATGCTCATATATCTTTCAATGTTGGTTCTTCGGGGCACTCATAAATTGGTAGTTCTGTGCTGGTCAATTCGACTGAAAGTGCAAGAGTTGAATGCCTAGTAGCTCAGATAAACATTTCAGTTTGCATGTTTTTGAAAAAAAAAATTAAACATCCCAATGACCTCCTCGGCATTTTTAACTGATGTTAAGATAGGAAATTATGAATTTTGAAATAGTTACAATAGTAAGGCTTGATTAATTAATGAAATAATATAGCATCTGAAATTAAGTAAATTATGTTATTAATTTTTATAAATTTTTAAGATCCTTTCACTGAGTTCAGAATATTCTAATAAAACATTATAGCAGAACAGGATTTGTTGTTCCCCAAAAAACTGACATGTGTAGCTTAATAAATAGTGTTCCCATAACGCGAAACATGCTGCGAAATTTTGAAAAGAAACAAAATGTTAGAAATTGATTGATACACAGATTTTGTCGTTGGCAGTAAAAGTGCTGGAAGAGAAAGAGACAGTGTGTGTGTGTACTGAAAGGCTAACACTGACAATAACATTGAAAATAATATCTCTGAAAGCAATGTGAAAAAGGCAGAGGTCACCAGGGCATTATTCATTCAATAAACTCAGCTGGATATAAAGGAAGAAAGGCTTTCCTGCAATGTCTCACCATCCTGCCGAGAACAATACTCATTGGTTCTATTTATACACAGGAAGAATATCTAAGTCTTATTACAGACACACTTTTGTATACGATTAGACTAACAAAATCAGATTTTTAAAAAAATGTTTGCTTCTTTTGGTGACCATTAACATTAATATAATTACAATAATTATCATCATTAATATAACGAATACAGTTTCCATAGCACATTACAATTACGCAGTAGGGTTATTCTACAACAAATAATTGGCAGACAAAACAATGGCAGATACAAGCGGTGAAGAAGGGGTGCTCAAACTTATAATCTAGGAAGGGGTAAAGAAAGACAAGAGGCAGAACAAAGACAATGAGACACTATGGTCACCAAGGCCTGACAGACTAAAGCCCTATTAACGCATGGGGAGAGAAGAAATTCTGTTACGTTTAGACAGATGTTAAGTCTTGAGATATGTACACTGGCAGTGCCTTGTTTTTGACAGTAATATGTATTGTAATGTTGGAACCTTGAATTTAAGTGGATCTTATTGGATTCTTTACTATTTAGCTTATATAACATAGGTAACACTTTGAAGTTGTGAAATATTTTTATTATGGCACAAACGTTAATTAAACAAAAGAATGAGGTCGGAACCATAAACTTGCACTGAGCAGAGGAAAAGCTATTTATTGAAAGCCTTTCCCCTTGTGTGTCTAATTTACACCAGGTAAATTGACACCTGCATCTATATGGATCAAAAACAGGTGTCAAATGACGCACAAAGAGTGTAGGAATTTAAACAATAAATTATGTGCCTGTCCAGTGTTTAGCGTAAAAAATGTCTGTTGCATTGAAAAAATGATTCAGGTCAGCTGCACTCCTAACAGACTACAAGGAAGTGTGTAATTTCTGCCTTAGACATACCTCCAGTGGGAGCAAGGCTATGTGAGGCAGGGACCCTCGCTAAGTGATAAAATGTTAGAAAATGGTTTAACACTGAATGGAGGAACTGCGCCAGGGATCTCCAGGCACTATAACCACTTGAATGGGATGAAATGGCTATTGGGCATAGATTGGCTCTTTAATATCTATTTATTTATCCATACACACGTTCAGATTTTTTTCTTGATATTAATATTTTTTTCATAAGGTAAGTATAGAAGCCAGAGAAGTATGAGGCAGATGATCAAAGTGTTTCGGCCGATTTGAAGGCAAACTGGTATCTTTGATTGTGACGCTGAAGCAGATTTGGTGGATGAACAGGTTCAAGCAGATGGACAATGCACTCGCCAAGCATTGATGGATAAGCTGCAGGTAGGATTGCCTCATAAGCATCTTTTTTCAGGATACTTGCAGATTCTGCCTTTTGTTGAGCAGAGTACTGTCCATCAGAAGGCGAAATTCACGTATCTGATGTAAAGTCAATGAATTAAAGGAACACTATAGATTTTGGAATACAAACATGTATTCCTACCTCTATAGTGTTAAACTAACTATTTAGGTCTCTGCACCCTCCCTAGATCGCATGGGAAAGGTGAGCTTACTTACTTTTTTTGTTCCACACTGTGCAGGTCTTGCCCCACCTGGCCCTGCCTCCAATCTTGATGATCTCAGCCAATCTAATGCATTCCCCCAAAAAATCATTGGAAGGGCTTAGTGCATGCATGGCAATATGCTGTGCTGTGCCAATCAGTATCTCCTCATAAAGATGTATGGAATTAATGCATCTCTATAGGGAACGTTCAGTGCCTTCATGCAGAGAGTGGAGATGCTGGATGCCAGTACTGCACTGTGCAGCACTGACACAGGAAGCTCCTCTAGTGGCTGTCTAAGTGACTGCACCTAGTGGTGTAACTAGCCAGCAATGTAAACCCTGACTTTTCTCCGAAAAGACAGTGTTTACAGTGCTAAGGCAACATGGACAGGCTATAGATACCAGAACCACTATATTAGTGTCCTTTTCATTACAGCAATTTTTTTGAGATCCTTGCTGAACACTAGCAGAACATGAATTCCATACACTGCTGGGCAGAACCTGTGACATAATGCAGAATTATGTGTCATGCCAAAATGTGGCAGCCACGTTTTCTGTGGGTGAAAATGAATCAATCTGGTTTTTTTTAACCTTAATATTGTGTATTGCACTAATGAAGGAACATGGGAGACAAGTAAAACATTTGCCTTGTGTCCCCCCTTATGCTGTTACAGTGAAAGATGGAAACATAAACACCCCTCATTCATTTTTACCCACAGATTACTAAATACCCATAGCACACAGATGTTTAATGAGTATGCAGTAAAAATGACTTTATTGTGCACTTTAGGTTGTTTGTAGCTCTGTTTTGTTCACAACACTCACATTTATTCCAGCTTAAATAACATACAGCGCTGTGTGGTTCTTATCTGGGCGACACGTTTCATAAGAAAATTAAAAACAGGATGGGAGGAGAGTGAAACAATGATTGATTTGGCCCGCATCACTGGAACAACAGATTTACTGCAGTCAAATAAGCTAAATAATAATTATTTAATCAAACAGGAACAAATATTGTTTTCCAGTCCTGTTTATTAGAGTAGACTCTAAAGAATACAAAGAGAGTCTCTGTAAAAGGGGCAATTCTGGCTGACCTTCCAAGTTGGCTTGCCCTATTCATGTACAATACGAAACTAAATATATATCATTTTATTTTGCCCTTATTAGGTCCATGTACATCTTATCAAACACTAAGCTCTACACAGAAAAAAAGTGCTTAATTTAGAAATCAAAGACTTTCCATCCCTATTGCACAAGTAGGAATTTAAGATTTTCAAGAAAACAGATGTTTAGTTGATATCATTAATCGGTAATGTATACCTTTGGTACACCAGATATTCCTGAACTACAAACTGAGTATGTGTTTAAATGATGTAGAAGCATTGTCATATAATGCATAACATCTCTATGGCTAAGCAATGAACAAATTGTATTTCATTTACACTTACGCATTATCAAATGCTGGTCTAGCACAAAGTCCAGAATGTGTTTTCAATGCGTTAATCTAATCTTTTCTTTAAAATTAATTCCTGTTTGTGTTACGATGTTCTCTACGATATGTCTGTGTATGATACTTCCTATTCACTGACATACAATTATCAATCAGAGTTTTATCATTAAAAAACAGTCCGTGGTTCCAGATTCCAGAGAAAAATATTTATGTTCAGTTTTGACAGTAATTCTTTCCACCGTATATCTTTAAACTGTTGGGCAAAGTTCATTTATAAAATATTTTATGTTTAATTGTCCCATGTTTTATTTACTCTTTGCCTGAACTTTCTTACTGCCAATAAGTCTGACCTTTCGATCTGGATCAAGAATCTTAAAGCTAATGGAATTACAGAATGATTACAATGCGTTCATCAAAAATAATGTTCCGGGTAGATTTCAGACAAAGTGGTGTAAATGAGTTTTTCGTTACTTTGTTACAGAGTTCACGAGAGTTGTGCATTACTTTTACATTACACTTCATTAATATATTCCATTAGATAAAATTGGCTTTTTTCCAGAAACAAGTCCATCATTTTAATTAAATCAACAGATATATTTTTCCAGTAATCAGTTAGTCAAATTGAAAGAGAGTTTTTTTTTCTATTACAATGTATCTGTATGTGAATATTTCTTGTTAATAGGCACAGACTCCTTGCTAGGGAATCACATTTCTCAATTTTAGATTCACTCAGATAATTTGGAACTTGCTCTCAAAACCTTCCTCGTTTCCAGATTCTGTGTTCATTGAATTGCAGGAACAAAGTGCACCTTGTAGTAGAGCGTTGGCTGAAATTCTGATGTGTTCTGAACAAGGCTTTCATCTGGTGCTGTGGCAACACTGCAAATTAAGAAAAACAGATTTAAAAAAACCATGACTCACCGAGCGGGACGCAACAAGCTGCACGGGAGCACATTCAACCCCTACAGGGTGTTGGATGACCGAAAACCGGTGATGAGACTCTGTATCAGGCAAAGTGCCAGTTGCATATTTCCTAATTCAAATTACATAACCCTCGTTTAATGTAGGCTACAGTGAATCTATTGATCTTTAGTAAGGGGAAATCGTGGGGAGCGGGTATTACTATTATTTTCACTTGTTTGCTTAAATGACAACTGAACCCACACAGGGCATGCACACATAGTATCGCATGTACACTCACATGCTTCTAAACCCTGAGAGAAAGTTTCTACAAGCATTAATCCATGTACACACCTCACTCTCACAACGAACACGTCCCTGTGTAATAACCTACAAACCTACTCATCGACCTTATGTACCTAGTGTTTAAAGGACCACTATAGTGCCAGGAAAACATACTCGTTTTCCTGGCACTATAGTGCCCTGAGGGTGCCCCCACCCTCAGGGACCCCCTCCCGCCCGGCTCTGGAAAGGGGAAAGGGGTTTAAACTTACCTTTTTCCAGCGCTGGGCGGGGAGTTCTCCTCCTCCAATCCTCCTCTTCTCCTCCCTGTCGGCTGAATGCGCACGCACGGCAAGAGCTGCGTGCGCATTCAGCCGGTCACATAGGAAAGCATTCATAGTGCTTTCCTATGGACGCTAGCGGGCTCTCACTGTGAAAATCACAGTGAGAAGCATGCAAGCGCCTCTAGTGGCTGTCAATGAGACAGCCACTAGAGGAAATAGGGGAAGGCTTAACCCATTCATAAACATAGCAGTTTCTCTGAAACTGCTATGTTTATGAAAAAATGGGTTAAACCTAGCTGAACCAGGCACCCAGACCACTTCATTAAGCTTAAGTGGTCTGGGTGCCTAGAGTGGTCCTTTAAGCATTTATTTTTCTCTGAATGTGTGCGTTTATATCACATACTGCTAATTTTCTCTGAAGCATAGCATATAAGATGTTGAAATAAGTTAACTTCATGTGTTACCTATTATTAGTCTATAGCCAGCAAGGCTCAAGATAAGATTGTTTATATATCATAAAAACAAAAATTGTGCATCTACTCCTGCCACTGTTTAACCTGTATACAACGTGTGCGCTGTTGTGGTGCTTGATTTCGCAATGTACTTCCCTGCACAACATAAATAAAGAATAAAAAAATAAGAAAACATGACTGCCTTAAAATTTCACATAGCTTTGTCCATCCCCTTTCTTTTTTTTTTTTTTCTTTTTTTTTGTTATACCTCTCAAGGCCAACTAATGTCTCTCCCCCATATTTTATTTTTTTTTGTACCCAATTATGTTAATGTTAACTCTACTCAAACGCTATGCTCCATGCCGTCACTCAACCTAAACTGTTCTTGCTACATTGTAATACATGTTGTAAACGTAAAACTTAGAAAATTCAGAAATAAAGAATTATATGAAGACCATGCCTAGAACTTTAGCCTATTGCCGATTTTTGATGCAGCCAAATGGAAGTGCTCAGTAAGCAATAACATAAAGACAAAATATAACGAAACTAAGAAACAAACATTGTCAGAGCTGTCACTTGTTTTGGAATATGAACTTACTTTGCCTTCCCGGTTTTCTTCTTAGAACAATAGCAAAAAATGAAAAGGAGAAGTAATGCCAAAAGGGGTATCCCAAATCCGAGAACCAATCCCAATATCAGTTTTTCTCGTTCAAAAGTATATTTTTGAGAAGTTTCTAGTACTGGTTGAGTTTCTGATCTTTCACCTGGTTATATGACATAAATTAGAAAAATGTCAAGTTTTATGGGAGTCAGCAAACACATACTGAAGCTCAGCAGATAGTGGAAAAATAGGGGGGGGGGAGGTGGATGCTTTGGTTAGCAATATGAAGAACAGGGCTGTAATACTGTAATAGGAAGGCACACATTTTAGGTACAGAGACTGCTGAAAATGCAATATCCATTGGAGTTAGCTGAGTGAGAACAACTTGGCAGATAACTAGAGATGAGTGAACTCAAACTGTAAAGTTCGGGTTCGTAACGAACATTACGATTTTTGACCGAACCCGAACCCGGACATTTCAGTAACAGTTCGGGTTCGAGTTCGGTTTTCCGTGATTTAATGGCGCGTTTTGAAAAGCTGCAGGACAGCCAATCAACAAGCGTTTGACTCGTGTGCCCTTAGAAGCCATCACAGCCATGTCTACTAATGGCATGGCTGTGATTGGCCAGTGCAGCATGTGACCCACCCTCTATATAAGCTGGAGTCACATGAGCTCTAGTGTAGGAAGAGGATGCTGCAGCTGTGAGGGACAGACTAGGAAAGAATTCTGGTGTTGAATCTGCAAACTACAGCAATTATTTTTGTGGGTGCTATACTACATTTTTGTACCCTGTCCTGAGCCCAGTGCCACAGAGAAATAAGCAATCAGTCTGTTTGTTAGGTGGGCACTTGCAACTGCATGTGTGCCAGGCACATTACTTTAATCCTGTTCTGGTAGCTCAGTGGGCAACATCTAGGCATTTTTAAATACTGTGGTTACGTCGCACTTTAAAAAATTCAAATTTTTTGGTGCTAAAAAGTAAATTTGTGGCATGCACTTCATATCTGAGAGTCAAATAGAACAGTCAAATACTGTGGTTATATCACACTTTGAAAAAAATCTAATTACTTTGATGCTAAAAAATAAATTTGGGGTGTGCACTTCATATCTGAGAGTCAAATAGAACTGTCAAATACTGTGGTCACATCGCACTTTGAAAAATTCACATTTCTTTGGTGCTAAAAAGTAAATTTGGGGCGTGCACTTCATATCTGAGAGTCAAACAGAACCGTCAAATACTGTGGTTACATTGCACTTTGAAAAATTCTAATTTTTTTGCTGCTAAAAAGTAAATTTGAGGCATGCACTTCACATCTGAGAGTCAAATAGAACCGTCAAATACTGTGGTTACATCGCACTTTGAAAAATTAAAATTTTTTACTGCTAAAAAGTAAATTTGGGGCGTGCACTTCATATCTGAGAGTCAAATAGAACCGTCAAATACTGTGGTTATATCGCACTTTGAATAATGTAAATTTTTTGGGTGCTAAAAAGTAAATTTGTGGCGTGCACTTCGTATCTGGGAGTCAAATAGAACCGTCAAATACTGTGGTTACATTGCACTTTGAAAAATTCACATTTTTTGTGCTAAATAGAACATTTGCGGCCTGCGGTGCATTTCTTGCAGTCCAATAAAACCCTTAAATACTACTGTTACATTGTTGGTTTCAAAAATCACACTTTTGTGTGCTAAATAAAACTTTTGCGGCCTGGGGTGCATTTCTTGCAGTCCAATAAAACCGTTAAATACTACTGTTGCATTGTTGTTTGACAAATTCACATTTTTTGAGACAGTGAAGTAACTGATGGGTCTGCCCCATTCAACTTCTGGGTCTCCAAATTGGGCACATGGCCTGAGCTTGCCCTTTATGCCTTGGAGGTGCTGCCCTGCAGTCAGTGTATTGTCTGAACGTGTGTTTAGCATGGCAGGGGGTGTAATCACAGACAAGCGCAGCCGCTTGTCCACAGCCAACGTGGACAAGCTCACGTTTATTAAAATGAACCCGGCATGGATCCCACCAGACTTGTCTGTGCCTTGTGCAATCAGGGGGTGACAACCATAACGGTTGTCATGGGCCCAGCGGCCCTGGGGGGCCCGGCCCCCACGTGAAGTGGCGGAACTGCCGCTGGTGCACTTGCACCGGGGCCCGCACGCTGATGGGGCCCATCGGGTGACCCACACACTTAGGGCCACCCGATGGGCCCTATATCTTCAGGGGCCCGGTCAGCGCTGTGGCTGTGGCCCCTTTAAAAAAAAAAAAAACACCCGCAGCAAGTGCTGCTGGGAGGAAATGGTCACTTCCTCCCAGCTCACTCCGCACGGCATATACTGCATATCATTATAAACGTATGTCTGTGTCCATTCCATATGAAGAAGATATCATCGATGAATCGATAATATGTGATTATGTTTCTCTTCCACTGAAGTTCTTTGAATACGAATGTTTCCTCCCAAAATGCCATAAAAAGATTGGCATAGCTTGGGGCAAATTTCGTGCCCATTGCAATGCCGCAAATTTGTAGATAAAACGAGTTTTCAAACCAAAAATAATTATGGGTTAAAATCAATAAAATTCCTTCTAAAATATATTCAATCTGTTCTTCTTTAAAATCCGATTTCTCTAAAAAGTATTTCACAGCTGCCAAACCTTTATCATGCGGAATGATACTATACAGGTCACATCACATGTGGCCAAAATATTGCCCTGTGTCCATTCTATTTGTTCTAAAATCTGTAAAATATGGATAGTGTCTTTAAGATAAGTAGGGTTCTTTATAACTATGGGTTGAAGGATAGTGTCTAAGTATTCTGAAATCCGTGTAGAAATTGAATCTATACCCGAAATAATTGGTCTTACAGGTGGATTTTCTACATTCTTATGTATTTTAGGGAGGAGGTAGAATACTGGTATTTTCGGATTATCGATCCATAGATAATCAGCTTCTTTATCTGTCAGTATTCCTATATTTTTATTTAATATGAAGTAGGAAGATCTACTAAATGTTAATACCATGTGTATTGTAGTATGCCATGTTTTACCATAGTATGTTTTATTGTAATGCATTCTATTAGATGTTCGTTGGGGGTTAAGTGGGGAATTTTGTACCCTGCTATGAGAATGATGTGATCGTATACTATGCGTTCCAGCAGTGGAACGCAGGGCGGAAGTTCCGCCGGCGCACGTGCGGAATGATGACGTTTGCGTTCCACTGTTGGAACGCAAACCGGAAGTATCACCAGAAACCGGAAACAAAGGTCTTGACGCTAAGAAGAGGAAACAATTATTGAGAGCATTGACATTTGCGTTCCATTAATGGAACGCAAAGACCCGGAAACCGGAAACCGGAAGTGGAAGACTGACACCCAGCACCAGCAATTTTGAATGATGCCTGATTACTTATTGTATATAAAGGACATTTGTCTCATATTCTACAGCAACTGAGGAAGCCTCTACAGGAGGCGAAACGCGTATTGCACCACAGACTCTTTTGAATCAGAGACTTTATTCATCCTACCTTCTATCTGTAAGGTTTTGAAAATTTTACTATTTTATTTTTGATTTTTGATTTACATTTTTTGTCATATAGCTGTGCACTTTAAAATAAAGCACTTTGGAAATAATCACTTGCTTTCAAGAGGAATACTTGATCATCAACTACATAAAGAAGGCAGTGGGAACCTTATTTCCCACAATACTGGAGAACTGAGCCTGTATTTGAGGCTCTGCACTTGTGAGTGATATTTCTCCCATTTTTGTATTTATCTCTCATATAACAGACAATATTGCACTATTATTGTTATTATTTTGTTCTGCTTTTTAGATATACGGAATATTCATTATAATAAGAAGATACTCCACCTTTAATTGTATGTATTTGTATCTATTTGTGAGGTAAAAGGGACTCTCACTAAGGTGTTTTTAGAGGACTTTTTATTATTGTGGGTTATACTATAAGTCTATCACTTTGTTGTATGTATATGTGTGTATGTCTCAGTATGTGTGTGTCAGTATGTATGCCTGTATGCGTGTATATCTGTTTCAGTATGTGTGTCTGTTAGTATGTATCTGTGGGCGGTATTTGGAGGCGGGCCCCAGACCCTGAGCTGAGTTATGGGCCCTAAAATTTCTGGTGGCGGCCCTGCTTGTGCAGAAAAGACATTTATACCGGCCTCACCCAGCCATTGTTATACTCAAGTCACTTATTCTTTGTTTTCTTTTATTATATCCCAATTGTTTGCAGGGCACTTGTCCTACTCTTATCCCCATTTTACTTCCTTTTGCAGCCCTCTATCTCTTTCCATGACTTTTTTAGAGCCATTTTAGTGCCCAAAAGTTCGGGTCCCCATTGACTTCAATGGGGTTCAGGGTCAAGTTCGGGTCAAGTTCGAGGCCGAACTCGAACTTTTTGCCGGTGTTAGGCCGAACCCGGCGAATCCAGGTGTCCGCTTAACTCTACAGATAACGCATTTTGTGAGGATGGCATGGCTGGGGATTAAAATGGAAGGCTGCGGGAGTTAGCCTGTCATAGAGAGTTGAGACCAATTCAGACTTGTGGATAATAAAGTCGATTAATAGATCAATTAAAAACTACGATAAGATAGCATATATATATAATATAATGACTGGAGACAGATTAGAACATAAAAACAAAATCATATTTCTTTAAAGGAACACTATATGAGCAGGAACACAAACGTGTATTTCTGACCCTATAGTGTTAAAAACACAATCTACCCCTTCCCCCCGTCTCCCCTTGATACCCTAAATATAGCAAAATCTTATCTATATGGCAGTCTGCTTCTGCTGGCTCTACCCCTGATCTGCCTGCATGGATGGCATCATTAAACGTGATTCTCTCAACCAATCACAATGCTTTCACATAGGAAAGCATTGGATTGGCTGAGCTTGTCAAGGAGGCAGATCAGGGGCATAGCCAACACAAGCCAAACACAGCCCGGGCCAATCAGCATCTCCTCAAAGACATGAATTGTATCAATAAATCTCTATGAAGAAAGTTCAGTGTCTCCATGCAGAGAGTGGAGACACTGAATGGCAGTGCTGCACACTGTGCAGCACAGCCCCAGGAAGCATATCTAGTAACCATCTGAGGCGTGGCCAGTGGAGGTGTCCCTAGATTGTAATGTAAAAACTGCCTTTTCTCTGAAAAAAATAATCTTTACTGCACATTACCTGAAGGGAATGATTATACTTACCAGAACAAATACAATAAGCTGTAGTTGTTCTGGTTACTATGTCCCTGTGTCCCTTTAAGGATGGGCTAGGGTAACAGTTTGATAGAAGTAGGTGAATCTCAAAGAATGTCAAAAAAACATATAATACAAGAACAAATGTGTTCGATACAGATGTCAAAGAAAAGAAACCAACAACAAAGCAATGTATGTGTGAGCAATCCTGCATATTAAGAAGGAAGTAGAAGATGTAAGAACAGATAGAATAATGCATGGAGGGCAAGACTGACCACTCCGCTCCCATGTTTATCTCCAAGATGAGGTGTTCATGTCTACAGCCAAAATACCATAAATGAGAAGACACTAGGAAAGTATTGGTTGCATTGAAACAGTGAGATATTGTAAAGTAGTTCTGTAAAACACACTGCGAATCAGTGACCAAATAGGGCAACCCTCAGTTATTTTTTAATAATTGGGTTAATTGGACATCGTAAAATATAATGGGTTCAATGGAGTCAGAAGAAGGACACTAAACCAAAAGGTTAACACCACACATGCACTTACCAGGGATGCAGTTGGTAGCTTCAAGTGTCATATCTGATTTACATATACATTTGTACCAGCCATACGTGTTTTCACAAATTGCCGTGCTGCTACAGTTATGTTCATTATAAACACATTCATCGACATCTAGAAAACAAGTGAATAGAAGAATGACATGTAAATTAAATAATAGAATTAAACAGATAAAATCCAGGAAACAAACATATTTTAGATGGCACATGCCAGTTCCCTTTTTTTTTTTTTTAGCAAAACCTCAAATAAAAATTATCTTTGCATCCTGGTTAGTATGATTACTGTTGAAGAGGAAATAACACGTATGATGTGTACAATAGCATGCGCGATACCAGTTATCTCCTGAAGCGAGAGACATGTAGATGAGAGAATATGTAAATAATTATGTAAGTATTTCTATGTCTTGGCTAAATACATATTTTTCCATTAAATAAATACTGTGTACAGACTGTTTTAAAAATAACGTTAATTTTTTTGAACAGTCATTTGTAATGTGGAGAAGCAAGGAAAAGCAAATGAAAGTGTCAACCGAATTTCAGCTCCATAGAATATACAGAAATGTTATCCACTCACATTTTCATTTATAAATTCTGATACAATGTAATGTCAGTTATAAATGTGCAAACACACTTCATAAAAATTCCCAGAAATCACCGCTCTTAAAGAAAAAAATATAACGTTTTATTTTTCAATAGAAAAAAAAAGTTAAACTGGCATCATCCTTACACCACACAGGCAAAGTTCCTTTCAAGAAATAGCACATGTGGCTCGCCAATCAAAATGTGGAAAGAAGGAAGATCACCAGCAGGTGTCGACCACTATTCCAACGATGCTTTATAATCCGTAGATCATACCTTCCAATATGTCAAATGGACAAAGAGGGACACTTTCATTTAAGGGTTGTGGCCAGGATGTAATTAGAACAATAATAATGTATCATATTTACACAGAGGGATTTGAGCCCAAAATAGTAAGTGTCCCTGCTAATTAGGGACAGTTAAGCGGTATGCTACCGATTCTTAGCTGTTGTCCATCAGTGGTAAAGTACTCCCATGCAAACCCTGACCTTTGATGACATTTTTATAGCATACGTGGCTTTGTATTTTGCGGAGCATTTATTGCATTGACATTCTAGGTCCTTCTTGAATCCCTTGTTACACATTGCACAGTGTTTAGTAGACGTGATCAAGGTAAATTCCACACTATAGTAATATTAGTATTCACATCTCAAACCATACTAATTAAATATATAATTTCACAATTTGAAATGAAATTAAATCTAGTTTTTAATATAAATGATAAAATTGTCATACTCCTTGACAGTAACAGAACCACAGTGATATGTCATTGTTCAATCATGGAAAACATGTACAAAGCGATTTACATTTCTTGTATAAGCTACTTCGAAATTAAATTTTTATAGATAATGAATGCTGCTACAATTTGTTTTGGGGTAAACAGGACGTCGCTGAACGGAGGCTGTAGCTCTGCTGTAGATGCCTAATGAACAGTAAAAACATTTTAATAATATGGATAGTCTCTTTTATATTATTTATATGATTTCAATTTAACATTTAGACATTTTATGCAGCCAAATTAAAATTATATTAGTGGTATTTTTAATATATTAAAGGACAATGGAGATCCCTTGTATTATACCAGTTGGTTGACCTTCAGAGACTTTCCAAACCATGTCCATTCATGTTCTTCAAGCTTTTGAGTTCTATATTTCCCATAATTCTATGTCGAGAATGTACCTTTCTCTAACCAGCGGTGCATCATATTCGCCATTCACCATAACAACATTGAATGGTCTAAGATGGACCACTCAATTTAGACTTTTAATAAAGGAATGATTTAAATGGGAGATTGTAGTCAATAAGCAAGAATTTTATTGTTTCACAGCACAAGGGTAAAACATGCATACTATAAAATCACACCCGTGCCACGTGCACTTCAACCAGTGATGTCACCTTTAGGGGTCTTTGCAAAATATGCAAGGACCTTAGAAGGTGACAGAGCTGCTTTTAAGTTACAACACAGAAGTTGTAGTTTAATAACATGCAAACTATAGACAATCTTGAATATTTATCCAGGATTGATTTGCACATTGGTTAGCTAGTAAAAGTACAAGGCAACAGATGTTTCCCTGACACCTATATTCCTCCCCCTATGTTAGTGACCACAGTTAAGTTTGTATCAGCAGGGCAGTAGTGAGAATTTAAGAAAACACCTTAAAGACTTAAAAAATTCAGGTAACAACAATGATGTATCCTTCCTGGAATAGCAAAATGCAAAAACAGGAAAAGAAGACAATCTTTACCTTCCCCACTACTACGACACAGGTTTCGTTCAGAAGAGATGTATCACTAGTCCCCATACACTCCTCCCTTTTACTCTGTGCCTAATCTGACATGTTGCATTCAGTAAAGTGCTGTATACAGGATCCAAGGAAAGAGAGTTTGTGGATTTGTAATGGCATGTTTCCAGACTGCATTAACTTTGAACTAGATGTGCCTGGGTTTAGACTGTGTTGTTGATGCAAAGCTCTTTTTGTGTTGTTTTTGAATAGCTTCTTTGAATGGCACAATTACACAGTCGATTTCAATTTGACACAGAATACAGTTATTTCTATATTTTACCTTCCAGTGACGTTATGTTGAACCGATAGTAATCTTGGACTCTGGCTAAATAGTCTTTTACAAACCAATGTGGAGTGTCGCTGGAAACATTTATCCTGTATTCAACTAACGAGCCAGAATTTAAAGAGTCTTTAGTTTGAAGTTTGTAAAACTTATTTTCAAATCCCAGGGATAAAATACTTTTCAGCTGTATTAAAGAAGAAAGAATAACACAGTACATGTCATTTAGCGTTTTGACATTATTGGAGTTTGTGTAGCCTGCTTTCTTTAATTACCTAAAGCTATCTAAGTATATACTCGTACATTAGCATTTTTGTTTCAGTGGAGATACTAGATGAGCTATATTTTTGGGCAGCTATTATGTATTCTTAGCTGTTGTCCATCCCTGGTAAAGTACTTCCATGCAAACCCTGACCTGTGTTCTCATTTATAAAACACTGACAGTATTATAGTATAGAATTTTATTAACTGATCTTGTTGTGAGATCTTGTAACAATGTCTCATTCACACACCTAGTCTATGGGCCATGGTTTTGACATTTTATTATTTTATTGTCTGCTAGTGTGGTCCGCTCACACGTTCTTGACCGCTTTGTATAAAGACCATTTGAACAAACCTCCCAGTGCTGTCCTATATGTCTGTTACTTGTCTCCTGCACATACATAATGGCCACAAGTCTTGATTCATCCTAAATAGTTTATATGCTGAATTCGACCCAACTTTGGCCTCAGCTTAATTTTATATATGTTGTTACTTTTAATAACACACAGCACTAGACCTACTTTCTGTTGTCCCTAAAAGTTAACTTTTTACTCGTGTCCAGATTTTAGAGTTCAGGGGTACGCTCACTAAGGTGTGATGTCCTGCACCAAAGTTCCATCTTTTTCCATCAGTTATAGGTAGTGATAAATAAAATAAAAATGTCTCAAGTGTCAACACAAATAAACCCCACTGATTCAGCACAGGCATTCTATCTAATGGATGTCTCTTTCACAATGTTTGGTTTTGTTTTTTGAAAAAAACTTTTGATTTCTAAGAGTTCACATGAGAAATACATAGGGACTTTACCATTAACTAAGAAAAGGTTGTAGTGCCTTAAGCAATAGACATAACTAATAATGCTGTCTTTTTGGAGATTGAATATATTTACTGCAATCTCTGTTTTGTTTTAGGACCAGATAGACACCAGCACATTTAATATAGCAAGTAGATCCACACTATCATTAATTTTTTCCAAGTCTGCAATTAAATGATACTTACGAGTTTTTCGTACTTTGCGAACGATGCGCTGTCATGATTTGTGATAACATCAGTGGTATTTTTGGAGAGCCACATAAATGTGCAATTAAATATATTCCAGCCTAAAAATTGAAGACATAAAGTCGCATGACCCACTTTTGAATAAAAATATAAGCTCTAGAAGAAAATGAATTCTACTGGTCATGTCAACCCAGCGAGGAAGAAATGAGGAGAAAGATCCTTAGATAAACATATCTACATTAATTCAAGTATTCAATGCAGTTAATAATAAAAAAGAGTGTGTTAATAAATGGCTATTATATATATTAGCTATATAATATTAAATACGCTATAGTTCAGTTATAGTGATTGCCTTTTTTAAGTATTATATCCTCCTTACTATTTTTACATTTATCTTTTTAAGGTGAATTGATCATGTGTGTCATAATGGCATTAAATAATGTAGCTCAATGCAGCTATTTTTAACTTCATCCAGGTAAAGTCAAGCCTTCAGTTAGTATGAATAGACTTCCTTGTTGTGTCCTGTCTTATTATTTTGAAAAAAAAACTTATGGGGGGGGGGGGCGTGGATGACTGAGCAACAAGCCAGACGTGCCACTGTAGAGCTCAGACCCAAACTTACAAAAACAGCCACTATTCCTTCCAGAAAAGCTCGAAAAACCACAATCACCATTGCCTTCCACCCAGCTGACACCATGGGGCGCAAAAACAAAAAGATTTGCATCCCCGAAACCTAAAAAATGCCAGACGTATGGCTTTCATTTGAAAGGCCTACCCTGCGGGCTCGACCTAAGATGGCGACGGTAGAACTAAGTGAAGAGGAGCCCACAGAAGCATTCCGAGATGGGGAGTAAGGCCCTTCTTCGCCTCAGGCAAGTGACCTCGACAGTGAGTTTGACTCTGGGGAGGACTCAGCGCCGGCAACCAAAAGAGATATCAAGAATCTCTTGCTGGAAATTAGGCAAGTCTGGAAAGCCGATCTCAGAGAAACACAAGCAGAGTTGGGGACCCTGCGTCAAAGGCTTTCCGCCGTGGAATCCAGAGAGGACACCAGGGATCAAGGGCTGCAGTCTACCCAAGACCAAGTCCAAGACCTCGCTCAGCAGGTACAGAGACTCACCAAGACGGTGTTGGAATCCCGTCACCGACGTAAGAACATCCGCCTCTGAGGGGTGCCGGAAAAGATCGGAAGAGATTCCTTACTCCCCTTCATCCAACGATTACTGGCCCACATGGGCATCCGGAGAGGAGCTGACCAGAATCTGCTGACCACAGCGTTCTGGATCTGCAAAGCTGCATCTGCTCTCACAGATGCCCCGAGAGAAATAATTGCGGTGATCGAAGAAATCGCAGTCCGGTCCACGATCATGTCTCGCTCCAGAGAGCTTGGAAATATACACTTTGAAAATTGCGCTAGAGTCATTTATGGGGCCTATCCTTCACAGTACTTGCAGAGACAGCTAGCACCAACAGCAAGGCAGCTGCGGGATGCTTATATTAAGTATAGATGGGGTGTGGACGGCTCACTAGTAGCCCAACAGGGACCAGGCATCCTTCCTAAAACATATGGGCCTGCCTATCTCCACCACGGCAGGCAGGCCCATAGAGCAAAGCATAGCACTAGGCAATAAATTCCTTACCACACAGTAGGTGTATTGTCATTTAGGCACTAGCTGATATAATACTACCTATTGTTCAAATGCCACGCAAGGCTTAGCGGCTAGAGTGCACAATAACATATGATAACACAGGTTAGTTCCAAGAGGGATCTCCCATACCAATATATATTTGTTGCTTCTGGTTTATATATTGCATACTGCAGTTCGTTTGTTTTACCCATCTATAATTGCACGTTCACCCATACCTAGTAGATGGAGATATGTCTGACAAGGAGCAGTTAAGTCGAGTACATACATAACGCATAAGTAGTTAACTCTCTGTGTAACCCAAGCTGTAACTTGCGTTTACCGTAATGATTTTAGAAAGTATCCATGTACTGGATAATTCTATATGTGTACAGTGCTGACCGCCCCCTCGAATGCAGATAGAGAGGTTGGTCATCACCACTTTATTCCAATGGGAAGCTGTATACCAGGGATGTAATGTGTCTAGCTGTGAAAGTAGAGTACAGAGCCATTTAAAGGCCATATTTATAAATGCTTCTTGTCTTTCCTCCCCTGCATACCTTTCCAGTTTGAATATACATTAACTTCAAACATACCTGGTGGATTTGCTGATTGACCTATAAAAAACAAAGAGACAATTTGCAAGATAAATAAACTGTATATACCACATATTTTTCTTAATATAAGATGCACCGAAATATAAGATGCACCCATATATTTTAACTAGAAATTTAGAAGGAAAAAAAATATAACAACCAACACCGTATTTATGCTAAACGTAAGCTAATGTGTATAGAGAATTTAGTTTGCGGGTATAGAAAATGTAGCATGTGAGAGTATAGGGGATATAGTGAGTGTGTGTAGGCAATACAGTGTGTGTTTGCAGAGAATGTTGTGTGTGTTTATGGAATGTAGTGAATTTGTGTAGGTGATGTAATATGTGTATTTAGAGAATGTAGTGTATGTGTGTTTGGGGGAAGTTGTGTGTGTGTGTCATTAAGGAATCCAGTGTGAGTATGGGATGCAGCATATGTGTATAGGGGATATAGTCATGGGCGTCCGCAAGGGGGGCAAGGGGGAACACTTGCCCTCCCCCCCTAGTTTTTCCAGCCTGTGCTGCTATTTTTCGATTCAGTGTGAGAATACACTGCAATACCGGCGCCGGCTAGTAGGGAAAGGCAGGGAAAGGAACTACAGCTTATCCCTGCTTTTTTCTCCTGACTGCAGCACAGAGTACAGCCAGCAGAGACAGCTTACAGATCAGGTAAGTGAGGGATGGGGGGGTTAGCCTACAGATCAGATAAGTGAGGAATGGGGGGGGCTACAGACCAGATAAGTGAGGAATGGGGAGGCAGCCTACAGACCAGGTAAGTGAGACATGGGGGGCAGCCTACATATCAGGTAAGTGAGGGATGGGGGCAGCCTACACATCAGTTAAATGAGGAATGGGGAGGCAGCCTACAGATCAGGTAAGTGAGACATGGGGGAAAAGCCTACAGATCAGGTAAGTGAGGGATGGGGGCAGCCTACAGATCAGTTAAGTGAGGAATGGGAGGCAGCCTACAGATCAGGTAAGTCAGACATGGGGGGGCAGAATACAGATCAGATAAGTGAGACATGGGGGGCAGCCTACAGATGAGGTAAGTTAGGGATTGGGGGGCAGCCTGCAGATCAGGTAAGTGAGGGATGGGGGGGCAGCCTACAGATCAGATAAGTGAAGAATGGGGAGGCAGCCTACAGATCAGGTAAGTGAGACACGGGGGCGCAGCCTACAGATCAGGTAAGTGAGGGATGGGGGGCAGCCTACAGATCAGTTAAGTGAGGAATAGGGAGGCAGCCTACAGATTAGGTAAGTGAGGGATGGGGGGCAGCCTACAGATTAGGTAAGTGAGGGATGGGGGGCAGCCTACAGATCAGATAAGTGAGACATCGGGGGCAGCCTACAGAACAGGTAAGTTAGGTATCGGGGGGCAGCCTACAGATCAGGTAAGTGAGGTATTGGGGGGCAGTCTACAGATCAGGTAAGTGAGGAAGGGGGGGCAGCTACAGATCAGTTAAAGGACCACTATAGTGCCAGGAAAACATACTCATTTTCCTGGCACTATAGTGCCCTGAGGGTGCCCCCACTCTCAGGGTCCCACTCCTCCTCCGATCCTCCTCCGTTCCTCCCTGTCGGCTGAATGCGCACACGCGGCAGAAGCTGCGCGCGCATTCAGCCGGTCGCATAGGAAAGCATTATCAATGCTTTCCTATGGACACTTGCGTGCTCTCACTGTGATTTTCACAGTGAGAATCACGCAAGCGCGTCTAGCGGCTGTCAATGAGACAGCCACTAGAGGATTTGGGGGAAGGATTAACCCATTCATAAACATAGCAGTTTCTTTGAAACTGCTATGTTTATAAAAGAATGGGTTAAGCCTAGCTGGACCTGGCACCCAGACCACTTCATTAAGCTGAAATGGTCTGGGTGCCTAGAGTGGTCCTTTAAGTGAGGGATGGGGAAGCAGCCTACAGATCAGATAAGTGAGGGATCGGGGACAGTCTACAGATCAGGTAAGTGAGAGATGGGGGGCAGCCTACAGATCAGTTAAGTGAGGGATGGGGGGGCAGCCTACAGATCAGATAAGTGAGACATGGGGGAGTGGGAAGCCTACAGATCAGGTAAGTGAGACATAGGGGGGGCAGCCTACAGATCAGGTAAGTGAGAGGTTGGGGGGCAGCCTACAGATCAGGTAAGTGAGGAATGTAAGTTAGGGATGGGAGGCAGCCTACAGATCAGGTAAGTGAGGGATGGGGGGCAGCCTACAGATCAGGTAAGTGAGGGATGAGGGGGAGACAGCCTACAGGAAGGTAAAGTAGAAGGAACAGAAATGAGCAGAAAGGTTCTGCAAGAGGCAGGAGGGGTCAGCAAGGAATAGGAAGGAGCAGGAAGCGGAAGCAAGAAGCAGGAAGAGGTAGGAAATGTTTGCAAGGAGCAGGAGGGTGAAGTAGAAGGAGCAGGAGGGTCAGCAAGAAGCAGGAGGGGTCTGCAAGGGGCAGGAGGGATCTGCAAGGGGCAGGATGGGTCAGCAAGGAGCAGGAAGGGGCAGCAAGGAGAAAGAAGGGGCAGCAAGGAGCTGGAAGGGGCAGAAAGAATCAGAAGGAGCACAAAGGTAAAGTAGGAGAAGGAACAGAAAGGGACTACAAGGAACAGAAAGGGTCTACGTGGAACAGAAAGGGTCAGCAGGGAGCTGGAAGGAGCTGCAAGAAGCTGGAACTGGCAGAAAGAAGCAAGAAGGGGCAGCAAGAAGGAGGAAGGGTCTGCAATGAGCAGAAATGAGCAGGAAGGGAAATCAAGGAGCAGAAATGGTCAACAATTATCTGGAAGGGGCAGAAGGCACACAAAGGTAAAGTAGGAAAAGGGGCAGCAAGGAACAGGAAGTGGCTGCAAGAAGCAGGAAGGGGTTGCAAGGAGAAGGAAGGTTCTGCAAGGAGCAGAAAGGGAACAGAAAGAGAAAGGAGCAGAAGGGCGCAAAATAGGCAGAAAGGTACCAATGAGGAGAGAAGACTGTGTCAAAAGAAAAAGAAGAAAAAGAAGACTGTGTCAAATGAAGGAGAAGTAAATGAGATTGGTGCAGGAAGGACAAGTGAAGTGATCCCTCCACTTCATTCTGGACACCACATCATAAGGCAGTGGTACCTTGCTCTGGCAGGAATCTTTGGACCTTCTCATCTCCCCAGGTAAAAAACATATCAGTGTTAATGTGTTCACTTTTATTTACTGAGTGTCAGAAAGCACAGACTGCTGCTCGGTAGGGGTGCCGCTGATTGGCTACACCGTTCAGCTGACTCTCTAAGCCAATCAGTAGCTCCCCATTAATAAAAATGTAAACATTTTTATGAATCAGGAACTAGCGATTGACTTAGGGCATCAGTTGACCACTCTAGCCTATCAGCGGCACCCATGCCTGACATCAATCTTCACTTCCTGACACTCCGTTTCAGAAGCCAAATACCACTGAGCAACATAGAGATATGGAGCTGGAGGATGCCTTTGGGGTTAAACAATTTGAGTTCAGTTTCACCCCTTAAAGGAAAGAGAGCACCCAGGGGCCTCCTTGCATCATAGCATTTTCATTTAGATGAAGTTGTTATGATGACCAGAATGTTCATTTAATTTGAGTAAAGGAACACTATAGTGTCAGGAAAACAAATATGTATTCCTGACACCATAGTTGGGAAAACGCTATTCACCCTGGCTTTATGTGATAATGACTATTGTCCTCCCCTTCTTGACACTGTCAAAAAGGTGCCAAGCATGGATGTCATTACTATTATGTCCCCACCTGGAAAAATTCCTGCGGACGCCCATGGATATAGTGTGTGTCTAGTGTGTGTATATACATGTTCAGAATATAGGACACAGGCATTTGTGTGCATTTTATATTTCCTGTTAACACCAAATGACTGATCCCAAAGCAATTTGCCATACAAATATTATGCAAAGACGGTGTTGTATAAAATCTGATTTTTCTTCTACTGACTACTTCAAGATGGCCATCCAATGTGTCGACCATGGTATAGAAAATAAATGGTAAAAATGCATATAAAGAAAACTGAATCTATAAATTTGGTACTAGTTTTTATATATAACTGATAGTATGGATTTTTTTGAATGACAGGTATTCAAAAGAATCCACATTATCCAGAAAAGGAACCTGGTTCTTAGAACATTTGTTGTCTCTGGCATCGTCAAGAGAGAGATCATATATAAAAAGTGCCATTACTATGCTTTATATAACACACCCTTATAGTATTCTTAGATTCCGAAATGTGAAAAATGTATTGAGTTTGTAACATACATTTTGCTATAGGACATTTACAGACCAGCGTGTGGAATAAATTAAATTGTGCAATGAGAACTTGCTGTCAGTTAGTTCCTGGTGCTGAAGATGTCTGCTTGGCATGTTGAAATAGTCTGACAATATTTAATGAGCTCAACGCAGCACTCTGGCTAAGTCCTGAATGCATTGCTTATTTCTATACTTGTTAAAAGAATTGCGAAACAGAAAATAAGTGACGAGTGGCATATGTGATAAGTTCAGCACTCGTCAAGTATAGATGCCAAGTGGAAGGTTCCAAAAAGACTATTTTCTGCGGCAATAATATAATAAGAGCATTTAAGTCCAAGAAATGAAATAAAAATAAAAGAGGGCAGGAAAATTACAGAATAGTGATTTAATAATATATAATTGATTATTTAAATGCTGGGCTTATTCTTTATTTTATGTGTTTATTATTATATATCTTTGTCTTTTTGTTCTGTTTTGTTTTTATGTCACTTGTATATTATATATTAATGGTGTCTAAAATATACTATATATTGCAAGGAGATGCTTTTTGTTGTCTTTTTTTTTTTTTTTTTTAAAGAGTCTTTAATACCTCCCAAAAATGTAAGTATTTTCATAGATAAAATCTTAATACACTGAAATTCCAAAGCAGTCAAAAAATATACTAAGACAAATACAAAAGGGATTTTCCATAGACATTTGTTTTCTACTCTTGCACATGTGCATGATTACAGCACCGATGTGTGCTTCTGGATGAGGGACAGTTTGAGGGACAGCCATGAGGGACAGTTTCAAGTACATAAAAACCTTACTTCCCATTCAACCCCAGGCCAACGCATAGTATGTTACAAGGGCCGTATTAACATAGGGGCTGATGGAGCTGCAGCTCCAGGCTCAGGTCCATGGAATAGGCCCATTGATTTAAACAAAAAAAAATAAAATTAAAATTAAAATTACTTTTTTTTTTTTACACACTACTCTTAGTGTTGTTCACCTGGCTGGTATTTATTTGAGGCTGCCGATATTGCAGTAATAGCGGCAATACAAATGCCGGTATTTTTCTCAGTATAATCAGAGATTACTCTGCAATACCACTACCGGCCAGTAGGGGTCGCTGTGTGTGTGGAGAGAGGCATGGATAGGAAGTTACCTGCATCGCTCTATTCACTGATCCGCGGGGGAGCAGCTACACAGCACAGAGAGTCCAGATAGCAGCTCCCAGCCTGCAGAGACAGCCTACAGCTCAGAGAAGAGAGGGATGGGGTAGAGGCTGCAGGGAGACATGGGGAAATTGAGACACTAGGGGACACTATCAGACATGGGGACGCATGGAGACCTCTGGGGACACAGACACACACGGGGACACTGAGACATGGACACACACACATGGGGACACTGAGACACTAGGGGACATGGGGACACAGACACACATGAGGACACTGAGACATGGGGAAACAGACACACATGGGGACACTGGGAGACATGGGGACACAGACACTAGGGACACAATGTCCCCAAGTGTCTCAGTGTCCCTATGTCTCCCAGCCAGTGTCCCTGGTGTCTCAGTGTCCCCATGTCTCCCAATGTCCCTAGTGTCTGTTTTCCCATGTCTCCCAGTGTCCCTAGTGTCTCAGTGTCCCTAGTCTCCCAGTATCCCTAGTGTCTCAGTGTCCCCATGTCTTCCAGTGTCCATGTCCCCATGAGAATATGTATCACAGTGTCTCAGTGTCTGTGTCCCCATGTCTCCCAGTGTCCCCCATGTCTCTCAGTGTTCCCGGGAGACATGGGGACACTGGGAGACATGGAGACACTGAGACACTGTGATACATATTCTCAGTGTCCCCCAGTGTCTCAGTGTCCCAGTGTCTTACAGTGTCCCCTAGTGACATGGGGACACTAGGAGACATGGGGACACTGGGAGACATGGGGACACAGACAATAGGGGACACTGGGAGACAGGGAGACACTGGGAGAAATCCATCTATACAGCAGAATCAAACTAAGTAGTTGTTTGGTGATTTCACAGAATTTTCTCTGTCACTCCTCGTGATTTATATCATGTAATGTCACACATACATAATTAGTCATGCAAATTGATAAGGCCTGTTTTTTTTCCAAGAAAGGTGGCAACCCTAAGTACTCTTCACATACTCTTGCTTAAGTATGGAAACTCAAGAGGGATATATGGAAACAAAACGTGTGTGGACTAGCTGAAATGAAATTAGTTAAGGTAATGCTGACTTTGGTCTCTCTAACACTGTGGCATGTTCCCTTTCTTCTACACTCACTACATCCACATTTTCTCTGTTTTTCAGACTGTATACCAAGAGCTTCTACCTGCTAGTAAGAAGGTAAGTAGACTAGTGGACATGTGAGTGCTAGGGGACAGTCCTTAGAAAGCATGGAGCGAGCGCATCATTAGACGCATTTATGCCAAGCTCAGGATGCTGTTCGCCAGCATGCACGATTGGCAGGCAGCCTGACATGCATTCATGCCAGGCTAGCCTTCCAATTCTTTGGGCAGACACGCCTCCTTTTTGGGCATATTCGGCCCTATGGAAAGTTCTGGTTACATGATCTGCGTCAGTGGCCCACCCTTTTACACCGCCCATTGACTTCCTGCTGCACTGGACACTGCTGTTAGGGGGTATGGATTTACTTATAAGATGAAAGCATGAATTAGAGAGAGATTAGCATATTTTAAGAGAATCTGTTTTTTTAATAGCTGCATCCTTTGAGTTTCCCTCTGGCAACATCTCCACAAGATACATAATGCTTAAGAGGTATGACTGTTTTAGTGTTTTTGGTTAATAAGAATCTGTACTTAGGCCCCTCATAAATGTCAGCACCAGGCTCATCATCTGGCCCTGTATGTTACTATCGGCAGTCTTTCCAAAATATGCAAAGATCCCCGAAGGTGTCAGAGCTACTTTAAGTTGGAAGGCCATAAAGATTATATAAAAAGCAAAGCTTTGGAGATCAATCTAATATGTTAGCAATAAAATTAGGTAAGACTTGCAAGTGATGTGGATGTGTGCTAAGAGTTACAGACAGGGCTGACAGATTGTTGTATTAGAACAGTTTTTAAAAATCGGTAGAAAGAAAATCCCTAATCATGGTTTTAGGCTCATGTTAAGTCACACTGCTGGGATTCTTCCAAGTGACAGATTGATTACTCATCTCTGATAGAATGAATATAGAATATGAATGAATATCTTCTCTGACAATTCCAAAATGGCATTTTGGAACATAACATGAATAATGTTCACTTGATCAAGATACTACTGAATTTTTTATCCTTCTCCAAGCTTCTCAACTGAAGATGAGACATCGGTAACTCAACCTCCTTACACCATAACCACTGCAAGGTGAAAATATTTGATATTTTTATATTATGTTGTCCATTATTCCATTAGGACTGTCCTAGCTAATCTGCTTATCTATGTGGTTTAGTGAGAACACAGAAAACGAAACTGCTAACTGACACACTGGCTCCTGTGCACGCATCCTACAAAAGGCAGATTCTGTACTCACCACATTGCGCATTGTCAACAGTCTTATACTGGCAGGAACACGCAAATGATCCCATGGTGTTGATACATCTGTATTTTGCATTTGGACATGCTGACATACTTTGGCATTCATCAATATCTGGTAAGAAAGATTTTTTTCGTTGTTTTTTTGTTAAATTATCAGTACAGTTAATTTAATTAGAAATCATTGAAAAAATATATAAATCTGTTGGATATCATTGGGGTAAACTACAATGTTAAACAGAGAAAATAATAGTGTAAAAAGTAAAAACGTGAAAAAACTGCTTCAACTCTCGTAGACACTCTCCCAATGGTTACCACAAAGCTAGAAAATTTAATATGATTTATACAATTACCATAATTTTCGTGTTAGCATTAAATAAATAAATAAATATAAAAAGCCACAAATTTGAAACATGGGAAACATTATCTGTTATATTGATATCTATTTTCTATACAGCAAGCTCTGACGGCTTGTTGAGTCATCGCTCACATTCAGCGAAATTGAAGATTTGTTTCTTAATCTGCTACTTAGGACTAAAGTTTAAAAGCCTTTTGATCAAGTCCTCACAAATATATATATTTAGTGATTCGGTGTGCTAAGTTTGTATTAGTTTCTAATGGCCATTCAAAACAAGGGGTATGTTATATGTGGTCCAGCATGAATCCTGCACAAATGAAAGGAGAAATGTTAAATTGTAACATGATTTATATGCTGGACTTTAAATGGCCCAATGACACTTGTGAAAAAATACTACAATTCACTTAATATACAAAAAATGTAAACAGACCATATGTAAACACTCTAGACAGTGTCTCGGCAGCATAGCTATATCCAGAGAAGGATTCAGATCCCGCAGAGCCCTATGCAGGTTGCCGATATAGGACCACCCACCATTCTGAATAGGGTCAATCAAATTCATGGTTCTGATGTCTAACCCCTGAGAAGTCACCTAGGGTCACCTTACGGGTAATCCTGCTATGTCCTTATGAGTAGCATTACCTTACTGCCCAGTACTCAGTAACATCACTATGGACCTTGACTAAAAGCTGCAGCTCAAACATGAGTTTGCAACTTAAAATAAGCAGAAAGCAGTTTCAACACTAGAAGTAAGGTTCTATCGCAATGGATCAGGCATATTGAAACCACGCATGGTACTACCTGTGCAGTTGACTCCATTTCCAGTGAATCCGGCCTTACACTGGCAGCTGTAACGATCAATGCTACTAAAGCAGTCAGCATACTCGTGGCAGGGGAACGTGTGTGGTGGGAGACAAAAATCTAAAGACAAAAAATAAAGTATCCAACGCACAGATATTTAGAAACATGCATCAACCTTCTGGGAAAAAAAAGAATGCAATTAACACACAGTCAGTTTCATTAACACAAAGTAGATTTGTGAAAAGGTTGCAACGCTACTGTTCTAAAACCACAAGTTCCAAGATATATTGCCATCCTTGAAACCTTTAATCTTACTTATTGATACTTGCTGGATGGGGCATTTGTTTTTTTAACACACTGCTTTAAAAATATGCAAAAATAAATAAAAATAGAAATATGAACAATCCTAATGTTAATTATATATCGTTTTGTATTATGTTATGTTTCATTTTGTTGTCTTATACTGTGTGTAATGACCATTCCAAGGGTAGCACTAAAGATATAATAATAAAGTAAAGAGAGAGACCATAATAGCTCTTTATCTGACTTTAATATCACTTTAGTAACTGTATTATAAAGAAAAACAACATACATAAATTCTATTCCATCTCCATAGCACATCATTTCATTATCCTGGCTTTGTAAAGATTAGTCGCTCGAGCCTCACATTACCTTGAACCTAGTATAAAGGCCTAAACTTTACTACACAACAGTATAATTAATCCTGGAAGGTCAAGGCATGTATTGTTTGTTGGCATGTTACATAATCGGATAACTGCTTTAGATTTTTTCAATATTGTACTTATTATGACCTAGATTTATCAAGAATATCGTTTCTTGTCTCTGTGCTCTGTGTTTGATTAGAACCAAATAACATGTCACATGCATTTTCGATTATGTATTGCATGACGATAAAAATGTTAAACAAGCAGATGTAACAAGATATGAGCGTGATAATGCAATGTGATAAAAGAATGAGAGGACGCACAGAGGCATCTGGAAAAGAGACAGTGGTAACAAACAGAACCACGTGGAGATATAATTAAATGGGAACACACAACCCAGCTCCTCTGTTTGTTTCTTGGAGTCTTTGTGAAGTGTCTTTTCAAACATTACTTAATCATCGTTAATTATTACCATTTGTCAATGTACGCCATGTGCAACGCAATTAGTGAAAGTCTGAATTTGAGAATTTTGTTGGCCTTTATCAATTAAGCTGTTGTACGCAACTGAGTGCTACAAATTTAAATTTAGTGATTAGATCCTATGAATAAGTGTTGCTGCTCTAAGACACTAACTGATATTTAGATCATGATATTTTATGATACGCTATAAATGATGCTGATTGAACCTAAAATTAGACTAAAGCAATCTGAGACCGATAGATAATATCTAAACAGCTACCGATTGCTAAGTGAAGACGTACCATTCAAAAAGCACTTCTCGCCATCAGCGGCACTGGGCACGGTTCCAGTTGGACACTTATTACACACAAATTGAGATGTATTCACATGATTGGAACACAAGACACCAGGAAAGCATGGCTCTCCTCTGCATGGTGTTGAAGGACTTGAACAAAATGCTCCAGAGAAGCCATCTGGACATTCGCAGCCCACAACCTAATAGGAAAACGGATTCAATTAGTCTTCAAATGTCAGCTTTTTAATCAATCACATTAATAAAAAAAAAAAATCAAAACTCAGGCCAATGTTTACATTACCCAGACTGTCTTTAATTGTAAAGAACACATGGCTGTTGAATTTGATACAGACTCTAATAAAGTCATATGGAATAAAAACATGGGTCTCGCTTTAATATTTTTCAAATGATTTCACTTTTTTTTTTTTAAACTTTAAGAATTATTAAATATTTTCAAAAATACTTTAATAATTTTTGATATATTGATATTTTTTTTTCTATAGATGATATTTTACATTTTTGTATAAAAATATTTTAAAATTATATCCAGAAAATATTGCTTCCAGTTCAGCTATTTTGGAAGTTCAATAAGAATTTACTTCAAATTCTCACTTTTTTTTTTTTTTTTAATTCTTTATTTTCTATTGTGCATAAAATAAACAATATGCTTACTCAGCCACGATAGCCTTTGTAAGCGGTAATAGGCATAACATACAACACATGTCCAAGTACAATGCAGCACAATTTTCCTTTTTACAATTATTACAGTTTAAGAGAGAAAAGTAGACAATGGACAGACATGCCATGTACAGTAACTCGCCCCCTTCCAATGTAGTGTGAGTCGTGCTAGGTATCAGATATGCTTGCAATACATCGTGTATCATGTCAGGTTGCTGTAGACTGTATTTTTTTTTTATTATTATTTTTTTTTTATTTTTTTTTTATTTTTTTGTTTAAAATTTTTTAATTATAAAATAAAAGCTAGGGTACTTTGTTAAACTTCCTGTACTGGTTTTTAAGAGATATAGGAGAGGGTCATGTTATGTACCAGTATGGTGACATATTCGACACTAGATATATAGCCTGGAGATTTCATGGATATGTTTACTATAAAGTATCTCATGTAGGACCTCTTTTACCTTACCAAGGTGGGATACTGCGCGTTTTGGCAGCTTGTGCATTGATATACGACATATCCCATGTCAAACATCGCGCCTCTTTGGGTAGAGTGTATCCCGCTAAGCACCGTGCCCTATTGTTTTAGGATCCCTGTTGACTTTGGTATAGAACGTGTGCATGTATCGACCAAAGTCATCAGCCTTTACAAATAGTGACAGGAGCAAATGATATATAGTTTGATAGCCCATCTGTTTTATACTTTGTAGTAGATGATAATCGGCCATTCCTCTTTATCGTCTCCTTAAGGCCCATGTGTCAGTTACCTAGGAGTTTATCTGAGACAACGAGTTACTATTAGTTCACTTAAGAGTTATTGGTCATAAAACCATGAGAGAAGAGATAGGTAAAGATAACAGAGAACCGAAGAAGTAAAGGAGAGGAACGATAGGGGAGGAGGGGGGTGGGGGGGGAGGGGGGGCCAGAGCCGACGCGCTTTGCTCTTTTGGATTGTGTTATCTGTCCTATGTGCCTCGGGGTTACTGAATAGGGTTAGCTCAGGGGACTGTCTTCCCATGGTGCCCATACTTTCTGGAATTGTTTTTGCGTCCCCCTGACTCTAGCCGTCAGGTCATCCATCATATGTACCTCCCTTATTCTATTAACGATCCCTGTGAGAGGTGGAATGGTCTGTTTGAGCCAATCTGTTGCCACCGCCCTCCTGGCTGCTAGGGTTACCTTGTGAATAAGTTTTTGTTCGCTTCTAGTCCACCCGTCAATTGTTCTGCTTAGTAAGTATAACCACGGGTCTAGAGGGGGGGCCCTATTCAACACTTGGGTTAGAATATCCCTAACTTGTTGCCAGAATCTTTGCATCAGGGGGCATTCCCACCACATGTGCAAATTCTCACTTTTTTTTTTTTTTTAATTCTTTATTTTTGTTCGTGCATGAGGGTAACAGGCGAATTTGTACTGCCACAATAGCTGGTACAGTCGAGTTTACATACATTCTTAGTCACATGGCATTAACGACATTGCACTTTTTTTTTTTTGAAAGTAGTTAGATAAACAAGATAATAACGTAAGCTTAGTAGTGATAGCAAATTAAAGACATAGATATAGAGAAACAGTTGTGTGTCATATTAACTTGCCTAGTTTCATGGATTAATACAGGAAGGTAGGAGCATGCTAAGTCTATTGAGGCTATGGGGTGCTGAACACTGTTAGTAAACATAGCCCTAGAAAATGTATAGCTCTGTGAAAATTATGCAGGCTGAACATTGTTATCATACATAGCCCTAGAAAATGTGTGTAGAGGATGAGCTTTGTTGAAAGCTTGGCACAAGTTTGTACTAGTGTTGTTAGTCGATAGGAATACAAGATAATTGTAATAGGTTAGCGTGTAAGTTGTAGGGCATAGCATATGAGCATAGGAGTAAAACTGCATTTCTCAGGGGATCCAGGAAAGCGTCCTTAACAGCAAGTAGAGACTGTATGAGGCATAGGGTGAATGACTCATCTCACAGAGGTAGCACAAAATAATTAACCATGGACAGAAACGTTCGGATGCCTTTGATTGTATTCACGTGAGGAAGTACTGTGAGGCTGGCAATAGTGAATGCGAGTCCCATCCGTGACGGTTGCCGCTTGTGATCAGGACTCCAATGATGGTGCGGCTGTAAGAAGCTTGTTAGCGCTTAGCCAATGCCCGAAGCAGGAAATCGAAAGTCTTGCACTTCGGGGGCTAGGGTGGCTGCAACATTCAGGCGGTTTAGTTGGGCATCCCTCTTGCCCCAGGCCGGTTGGTAGGCCAGCATCCTCTTGCCCCGGACGTGTGGGCTCCTAAGGTCCCAGTCCTCCCCTGTATGGGGTAGACGGGAGATCGTGGTGGTATGCCGCTGCCGGTTGCAGGCGATCTTCCGTCTGCGTGGGTGATGCCGTGGGGCTGTGCCCGTTTTGGCCCTCGGCCTAGGTGATCGCTGACTAATCGGCTTGTGTATGTTTAATGTGTGGGGGATCAGAGGGGGCCAACTCACCACCCCATCGTGAGCCTCCCAGTGTTGGAATGCTGCTGTGGCTTGACGGGCTTTCAGCTTAGCCCAGAAACAGTTGAAAATGTCATCCAGTTTCTTCTGCGTTATTTGCGCTGGAGTTAGCAGTTCCGTCTCAGACTGCGTGATGGCTGGTTCCCACTGGGTACGACAGGTCGCCATTTTGTGCGCTTTGCTAGGTTGTAGTTTAGTGGGGCTGGTTCGTGCTTGAGACTAGCCTGGTCGGACCGGGATGACCCGCCGGTCCAAAGGGGGGGGAAACAGGGCTGAGAGAAGAGCTTGGGGTTGCACAGCTGCACACCGAGCGGGGGGTCGGCCGCTTCCCCCATCCGACGGCCGTGCTAGGCCTCACTCCTCCGACCTCCGTCGGCCTTGCAGTGTACTCGCGGGCGACAGACCCGGGTTTCCTCTGCTGGCTCCAGAGGTAGGTAAGTTTCTTTTCGTGGCGTTATGGCTGGCTGGCTGGCTAGGTTCAGGCTTAGTTGAGGAATTGAGCTCGGAGCTCACACGATGTGCGTCCAGCCGCCATGATGTCCAGGCCCCGCCCCCGCAAATTCTCACTTTTAATGATTACATAGATACCTCCCAAGGGTCTCGGCTTAGGAGGAGCTGACCCCTCAAGGTTGACACAAATTTCAACCTTGGCAAGCTTGGACCTTCTACCATTACGATTTTATGCTACCCAATTGTATTTTGCAAATTATGCATGCAGAAATAACTTTAGTAGTTATGGTAGGGTGTGGAACTGCACTCTGTCCCTTTAAGTAGTATGTGGCTGGGTGCAACTCGGACAGTCTCAGTACCAGAGACCAAATGCTGAGTAACAAAAATAGAAGAAAAGTCCAGGCAGTCCAAGGTACAAACCAGGCAATTTTATTGAACCCACTCCATCACTACGGAGTGAGTTCAATAAAATTGCCTGGTTTGTACCTTGGAGTGCCTGGACCTTTCTTCTATTTTATGTAGAAATAACTTTAGCAGGATTTAAATGACTGCAGAACATTACAGGTAATGATAGGTGTATCATCAATAAACTATAACAGAAACACTGATAGAATAAGCGATAGAGAAAACTGGACTGTCTTGTATTCCAACTAGCAACACCTGTACGTTCCATCCAGTTTGCCGATTACACTCATCATATATCATTGATTCTTTGACATTTGTAACCAGCATTAACGTGTGTGTTAGAATAAGCAAATTGCTGGTTTTCTGAAAGTCAGCATTTTTTCAATTCCACGATAAAATTAAGCAAATCCGCTAGAATGCCCAATTTCCTTCTTTATCATTCTTACATATATTTAAAACCAATTTTGAATATATCTTACTTTAGTTTGCATTCATTTTTTTTATATTGACTATTCATTATCATTTTGCATAATTTCCTGCATGTTTTATTTTTGAATGATGCACCTGTAGGTTCTTTGAATGAATTTAGAGAAACAACAAAGATACAACTTCAAAGAAAAAAAAACGTTGTTTTAGCCTAAATAATAGAGTAAAAACTTAATGTAAAAATATGGAAGATACTTATATGCATTTCTATTGATCCAGAACATTTCTAAGATTTTTCTTTCTTGCTAAAGCCATTTATTTTAAGATGCTGCTCATCCTTCAAACTACTTATTTGTTAATAACAGTTAAATCAATATACATCATTTTCCACAGCTGTGAAACTGTTATTATGTAACAAGGAGCAGTGGCGTAAAAAGCGGGGGCCGGTCCCCCGCATGCCAGTCATCAGGGTGTACCCAATTTACCGGTGACAGACAGGAAGTGAACGCACTGCACAGCGCTACCCTTCTGCCAGTAAAAAAAGGTAGTATGACCGAGCAGGCAGACCACAGTAGAAGAGCCTCTCTTCCCCTCTCTTCTGCCTGGTCTGACAGGAAGTGCTCATAGAGAAAGCACAGAACTGCTTCCTGTCAGACCGAGTACACGAAACAGAGGCTCCTTTGCGGTGGACCCAGATTAGGCTGAGCAGGCACAGGAGGGGAGTGGTACTAAAAAGGGCACAGTAGGGGGACAAAGAAGGGCACAGGAGGGAAAAGGGGCTAAAGAGGGCACAGAAGGGGGACAAAGAAGGGCACAGGAGAGGGGCTAAAGAAGGCACAGGAGGGGAGGAGCAAAAGAAGGGGAAAAAGAAGTGCATAGGAGGGAAGCGTGGCTATAGAGGGAACAGAAGGGGAATATTGCAAAGGAAGGGCACAGGAGGGGAGGGGGCACAAAGTGGCATTCAGAGGGCTGGGGAAAAAAATACACAGAGAGAGACAAACAGAGGGGCTGACAAGGGACAAAGAGACACATAGAGGGGCTGACAATGGACAAAGAGTCACATAGAGGGGCTGAGGGGGGAAATGATACACACAGGAGGGGCTGGGGAATAGGAAAAAGAGACACACAAATGGGTTTGGGGAGAAACAGACGCCTGCTGGGTGAAGAGAGAGGTTTGCCAGCCGCAGCCGGCCAGCCAGTCACAGCAGCCTAAGTCTGCCTGTTAACCAGCCACAACAGCCAGACTGCGACAGCAGCCGGCCACAGCAGCCAACCAGAGTGTTAGAGAGACCTATCTCCAGGGCCTATTAGACTCCATTGTAGTCTCTAATGGGACCTTGAGGGGACTCTTTATAACATACAATTTATAAATGCAACAAATATTCTCTTAGAAACATTAGAAAGATTTTGGGTGTCTTTTACATTTCAAAGTTAAGGGCCGGGTGCCAAATACTCTAGGTTAGCCCTGACAAGGAGACATATTATCTATATCAATAAATCCTATATACTATGTGGAGGACCTATCAAACTGCCTAGTGGTTCTTCCGTCAAAAAATTGAGAACACTCTCAGAACTTTAATAAATAAAACAACTTTAAATTGTGGTCAACATTCCAGTCTCCAATTAAAACTGTCATACTGATCCTCAAATGCAGACCACAAATACAAGTTCAGTTTTATTATTAAAGAAGACCTGAGTGTGTTACTCGCTGGAATGTAAGCTTGTTTGAGCAGGGCCTTCAACACTCTCTGTTCCTGAGCGCCCAAATACTTCTCTGTTAGTCCGCCTGTTGTACAGTGCTGCAAAACTTGTTGGTGCTTTATAAATAATAATATATATGTATATAAAGAAATACACCTATTTCTACTTATATATTTACTACCTACATGTTTATGTATACTGTCAATACCTAATTTGCATATTACTGTATGCACATAGCTTTCTTACCTGATATTTGCTTTCAAAATAATTCTCAGCAATTATTCTGTAGTCGCAGATCCCTCCGTTGGCACAGTTGCAGACCTGTACCGTAGGGTTGAATACGGAGCCAGAGAACTGATCATTCAATTGTATCATTAATTTAACGGGGTTTGCGTTCTGTAGTGTCCATGTTAACTGGCCATCTGTGGGAGCACAGAAAACAGGTAAAGACAATGAACAAAGGCTGTATGTGGGTCTTTGGCCTCAGTGATACCACAGGCAACACAGGCTTGGGGTGTCAGAACTGAATTGGAAGAGTTCCGTCTCATACAGGGTTATTATTTTCTAAAGTGAAATCTCAGTGAATTGAAAGTGAGTTTCAAATTTAAGTTCAAAATAGCCAAATGTGAAAAATTGGCTATGCTTTCTGTTCGGATACTCTAGCCTTTTGAATTTTCACTTTAGCAAATTACCCTGATAGAATTACTTTTTAAAGTGTGGATTGTCCAAAATAGCTAAAAATAAAAGCATAGCTGTTTTACAAATTGTTTCCCACTTACTATTGTGGCATAAAATCTGAAATTTGCTTTAATTTAATGAATAACTCTGTCAATATATTATTATTAATTTTAGTTTTAGGGTTTTGTAAAGAATCTAAAAAAAAAATGGTAATATTTTAATGTCATCATTACAACCCACCAGAGAAATAGCTAAAAAACAACTCTAGACAACAACCAATCTAGACCTGAAATTCATGCTATCTTTATCAATGTCAATAGTCTACCACACTTACCACAGTGTAACAGTGTAACGGCTCTCTTCAACTATCCTGAAAATATTCCTTTACTTTCTCGATTAAGTAAATACAGCATAAAAACGCCCCGCTCTGCACAACATGCCAAAAAGCAGCGTTCATTCAGACAGTAGAAATAACATCAACTTTATTGACTGGGTTACAGGATACATGTCAACATTTGCAGTGTCTTGCACATTTATAGGTTCCTAGAACAACTCTAGACTTCACCTCACATTCTTTATCAGTTACATGTCAATAATCCTCCACACTGATCGCTTATTCCTGTCCCTCAACTAACCTGTAAAACACTGTATCTGGTTAGCAATTATCATTTATTCTTTTTACTGTTTGTTTGCTGTCGATTTGACTACAATGATCAAGTAACGCAGAATGCACTAACATGATATAGTGTATAATTGGGTTACATTTGGGTGTTTTTTTGTTTATAGTTCAGTATTTCTGGTTAGATAATTCCTCCCTGTTACACTTACTGTGTGTCCGGTGTTTCAAGGTCAAAAAAAATCTTCAGACAGAAAGTCCTTTATTGTGTTTCCCACTTCCCACCAGTGCACAAATGGATCATGTGATATATCCTTCTTCTAGAAAACGATCATTTGATATATCCTTCTTATAGAAAGGGATCATGCAGTATCTACATCATGCAATATAACCTTCTCATAGAAAGGGATCATGCAATATATCCTTCTTATAGAAAGGGATCATGCAATATATCCTTCTTATAGAAAAGGATCATGCGATATATCCTTCTTATAGAAAAGGGTCATACAATACACCCTTTTTATAGAATAGGATTGTGCAATATACCTTGACTAATTTCTTTCTACTTATTGAGGAACCTGCGGAATCTGAGAAGTGCTGCGGAATCTGTTGGAGCTTTATAAATACCAGTATTAAATAAATAAAAACTATCTTACCTACATGTTACAGAAAGACAAGTAAAGGTAGTATTTCAGTATTTAGCACAGTCCCTTGCACATCAAACGTTATTATTAACAAAATAAAATGACTTACTTAATGTAATGGCGGCTCCTTGAGGGAAGGGCTTAGTAAGTGAATAGGAGACAGCATCATTGTTTGGATCGACTGCATGAAAGGTAACCTTGAAAGTTGTGTTTACTCTCAGTTGAAGAACTGTTGGCCCGGTCACCCGAGGGGCGCCATTTCCTAATTATGAAAAGGTTAGGTTGTCACAATACAGCTGATTTTACCAAATATAACAAATTTAGCTACTCATGGAAGTTAAGTCTGAGATAGCTCAGTGGGCTAATGCATCAATGACTCAGCCCTTTCTGAGGTAGATAAAATGAGTACCATTAAATTGGGTAATAGTAACAACCCCTGGATGTTGTGCTAAGGTAACATCCCCAGGACATACTTGAAAACCAGAGTAATCTTAATGTGCCTTTTCTTCTGGTTAAATACTTTGTTATTATTATTATTATTATTATCATTATTATTTATGCTTTCATTCAGCCAAATCTCTTCATAGCTTGACTTGCTTAATTTAAATATTCACAAACAGCCAAACCTCCACCCAAATACATTCCTGGCACAAACCAGGACATTGCACTCTTAAATCTAAGCCCCTCCCTAACTCTAAGTCACCATAATGCTACCTCCATCCCTTTTTAAAAATACTTCAACCATAATTCTCCCCAATCCCTATATTACCAGTGGTGTCTTTTTTTTTTACATTTACTTGCTGTTTGGGTGCAATTTGATTGAGCGTCAAATTTCTCAAAATTTGCATTATTTTCAGTATTTAGTGAATAGACCCAAGTGTTTTCCCTGAACACAATACCTGTATTTTCTAAAACTCTTACCAAAAAGTGTGACCAGCTGTTTGAAGTCATTGAAATCTTTGGCAGTCTGCAAGCCTACAGCAGTATCATTAGACAGCAGTAGGTCATGAATGCATTGCTTGAATCCAGAACAGGATAAATTTGCTTGTTGAAGTTGTGACGGCTTTGCTGATGTGAACACTACAGATGTAAAGGTAGGTTTAAAGGTTTTCCATACTTCCACATTTTGCCTTGGAGAAAAGAGACTTTCAGGGGTTGGAACAATCCCTAAAAGAGAAACATTCAGCTGTAGAGGCTTCAGGAATTATCATGTGGATACAAGCAATCAGTTGTGTTTTGGATATTCCATACAAGCCATTTAATCCGTGAGTGGCGAGTAGGACTCTAGTAAAATACAATAACCGGGAGAGGGGCCTATTGAACCACTCACCAAAGGGTAATGGCTGGGGGAGGATAACAGGTACCTTCCACCATAATATAATAATAGAGCCATCATCCATCACCAATAGGTGTGGACTGAGCTGGAAAATAGGTCCCATCCGCTGTCATTGTACCAGAGCCACCCGCTGCTCATGAGTGGAGGCTGGGAGACACAATAGGTCCACCCTGTTAATTTTATTTAATTGCCCCACTGTGGGGGCAAAAATGAGTAACCGGGCAGCATTAGCAATATTAGCTGCCCATTTGCTAGCCTTTTTTAGGACAGTGAGCAGCCACTGACTGCTGTCTATAGACATGCGTGGTATGGTGGGTGGGGGCATGATGAAGGATTAAATACCCAAGTGACTATTAACTAAGAGCTGAAATAACAAAATTAAGAAAAGGGATTTTCTTAATTTTGATCTTTCAACTGCTTAGGTTAGGGAGATCAGAGCGCTATATATATATAGATATGAAGCTCCAAGTTTCCTAAGTACAGCTGCAATACGCAGTCACTTATTGCAGCATTTCATAAGTGTGAATAAAATCCCAATCTGAAAATAATGGGCAAATTTAAGCCAAACGGTCTAATGGACTAACACAATTTACAGTTTACAATACTCGATACCTTTTGTTTTATGGTAAAGTGTAGTAATGCTAAGACTTATCGATAATGAAGTAAACCACCAAGAAAATCACAATACATAGATACAGGTGTATTATGAAACAGTATGCATTCATTTGGTGATCTAATTCACTTTTCTTGTAAATTATATTTTAAAAAAACAACTTGCATTTCAATGGAGCACCTGGATCTAATCCATTCAGTTGGCAGGTGACTAACTCAAATTGAACGTTAATGCAAAGCATTCTGCACAGATGCAAACATTCCGCCCAAAGGGATTTCCATATAACTTTGCACGAAACAGAATCTAAACTAAGCATAAGAATGTTGTCAATAATAATTTACTGAGATCAGGAAGATAAGAGAGACCGTGTAAGTCAATACTACATGCATGCAAATATTATGATGATTATTTGCCATTAGAGCCAGATTAAACATGATCTGTTTAATGTCACATGACAGCCCATGTGGTAATGCAAGGGTCAAGTCAAGAGTTGGCTTAGGTCCATTTTAAGTCTTTTAATGGTCTATGGCAGCCTGGCAGCAGCAGCAAAACAAATACACACTGAAGTCTCCTGGAGCCAGCCAGTTCAATATTAAGCCATTTCAGGTCCATAGCCTAGGTCCACTCTGCTGCTAGATTATTTACTTATATGATCATTATATGACCATGTGTGTCCAGGGACCCTCATTCAGTGTTAAACCATTCATAAACAGTTTAACACGGAACCATAAGCCAGCACCAGGGGACTCCATGTGCCATAACTAATTCAATCAGGTGAAGTAGTTTTGGTGCCAATAGTGTCCCTTTAAATTTTCTTTCAATCCCTAGAGCCTGAGGGTGTAATGTTACAGTCTTGTCTGCCATACTTGGGCTCGGATAGTATTAGGACATGAGACAGTTAGTGTAATACTAATCTTATTAACAAATGTAACTACTGGCTGATATGTGTTTGTTGTTGAGAATCATAGTTGTTATAGTTGGTATATTAAAGTAGGCTTGTGACATAACATAAACATCAGATGAGGATGAATAAATGTTCACTCCTTAAACAGTGTTTCTATTTAAGATATTTTTAATATGAACCTACCTGCTGTGAAATATATTCTGAAATTAGCATTTTACATCTAAACACTTACCTGTTCTCATCTCCAGTATTAAATATCTAATAAACTTTAAAATGGAAAGAACAGGGTGCAGTTAATCAGCATGAGGTCCAGGGGCGTATTAGCCGCGAGGCTAACAAGGCATTTGCCTTGGGCGGCATTTTTCAGGGGGCGGCAAAAAACGCCGCCCCCCAAATGCCCAAGGCAAATGTCTTGTTAGCCTCGCGGCTAACAGACATTCAGGGCGCTGGGCGGCAGTGGCTGCAGCGCTGGGCGGGCGGGCGGGCGGCGAGGGAGCTCTTCCCCTGAGCGCTCTGCTCAGCTCCCTCGCGCGCCGCCAGCAGAGTGAGGCTGAGAGCCGGAATATGACGTCATCAACCCGGCTCCCAGCCTCACTCTGCTGGCGGCGCGCGAGGGAGCTGAGCAGAGCGCTCAGGGGAAGAGCTCCCTCGCCGGCCGCCCGCCCGCCCAGCGCTGCAGCCACTGGACCCCAGGGAGAGGAAGAACCCCCCCCAGCATTACCAAAGGTAAGGAGGCTGGGGGGGGTTAAATAAAAAAAATAAAAACACTAGTGAGTGTGTGGAAGTCTGTTAGTGTGTATGTTAGTGTGTGTATGTATGTTAGTGTGTGTATGTATGTTAGTGTTAGTGTGTGTATGTATGTTAGTGTGTGTATGTATGTTAGTGTTAGTGTGTGTGTGTCTGTTAGTGTGTGTGTGTCTGTTAGTGTGTGTGTGTCTGTTAGAGTGTGTGTGTCTGTTAGTGTGTGTGTGTCTGTTAGAGTGTTAGTGTGTGTGTGTCTGTTAGTGTGTGTCTGTTAGTGTGTGTCTGTTAGTGTGTGTCTGTTAGTGTTTGTGTCTGTTAGTGTGTATGTTAGTGTTAGTGTGTGGATGTCTGTTAGTGTGGATGTCTGTTAGTGTGTGTGTTTGCCTGTTAGTGTGTGTGTGTGTTTGCCTGTGAGTGTGTGTGTGTTTGCCTGTGAGTGTGTGTGTCTGTTAGTGACTGTGTGTTTCTGTTAGCTAGTGAATGCGTATCTGTCAGTGAATGTGTGTGTGTGTATTTAGAAGGCGGAGCAGGGGGGAAGGTTGGGTGGCGGTTGCGCGGGTGGGGGTGGCGCGGGGGGGTGCCTGAGTTTTGTCCTGCCTAGGGCAGCACAAAACCAGGATACACCACTGATGAGGTCATGATAATTTTTCAGAAATATAATATTGTTCTCCCGAATTAAAAAGAGACAGGAAATATAGCTATAAGCGGCCAATTAAACACATCTTTTTAACAGCAGGATCCTTTTAAAAGATGTTACAGCAATACGCAGCTAACACGTCTCTTTAGAAAACTCTATTTTCATAGATACTACACTTGGCAGTTTTGCTTATTGGGAGTTCCGAATGTCCAATTTGCAAGTTGGCTTAACCAACATATAATTTACGAAACATTGTACGCGTGTCTACAGATTCCAAGTAAAACTGACATAATTATATCTTTTCATCCTGACTGTGCACTGATTTCATATTACTTTAGCTGACAGTGGTGCATTAAAATTCTGTAGTCACAATACACAGCTTCGTCCTAATAGCTGCACAATTGACTGGCATTTTGGAACACCGACCGCCATTTCATAAACTTACAAGACAGGCCAAAAGAGTAAACGAGTTCCTCCACTGGGCCTTTGCCATCGCCGAATGTCAAAACATTTCCATTAGATTGTGTAAAGTCATCAACTGTGCTGTCGCTCCACAGTCCCAGGAGACCCAGTGTCTTATAAAGAAACGACTGTGGCACACGGATGACTGCTCTTAAATTGGCTCCGGTGCCCATACTCACAGACACCTGCAGACCACAGCTATATAACACGGCAAACTTTAATGTTTCCAGCTTGATGAGGGCAAACTTATTCTGATTGAAGTACATCACATCTGCAAAATAAAAAATCCTACCTGAGTATTTTGTATTGTTTGTCATGGAGCAATAACATTAAAACATAAAAGCATGTAACCCCTTCAGAAGCTTGTCTTTCACTTAATGACAACAGCATTTTTTTCATTTTTTGCTGTTTGCGTTCAACTGCAATTTGCATTTTACTAATTTATTGCACCGACACATATTATATATTGTTTTTTTAAAGGACAGAAAGGGCTTTAATTTGATGTAACACACATATATATAAATGCTTATTTATTATAAAAAAAATACAGAAAAATGCTTTTTTTTTTTTAGTTTTTGCAATAATAATGTGTGCATAATTAGTAAAGGTTAAGGAAAGTAATTAAAAATAAATTCATTTAGTTGTTCTGATTTACAGAATATATAATGTGTCTGGGATTTTCAGTTTTTTTTGGTAGTTACAGGTCACAAAGCACAAGGAGTAAAATAAACTTTTAATGTGGAGCGATTTTAGAATTTGGTATGTTTGTTTTGTAAGCTTAATAGCCATAAAAGAAAACAGAATTGCCACACAAAAGTATATATTTATATAAAGTAGACATCACGGGTTATTTACCTAGGGTTGTTTTGACACTTTCTACGTAGCCATTTCACCGCCAACCTCTGCTAAATAGTGGAGTAAAATTGTGGGGGGTTTTGTTTTTGGCACACAAACTTATAACAAAGAAATTCTCATGTGTATTTTGTAAAGTTGGTGTGTGCTATTCCTTTACAAAGTTTTATTTTGTGTTCAGTTACATCTGCTGAGTAAAATGACACCCCCATTGTATGTCTTTGGCACTATTTCGTGAAGTTACAGTGCCATATAGGAGACCTGTCCTTTTCAGTATTCACAGTAGAATTTTGAGAGACGGATTTAATGAGCCTATGCTTCCATTTGGGGTATTATAACAGTTTGACTGTTCAAAAAAGCCCACAAAGGCCTACCATTTGTAAACGTAGACACTCCAGGGTATCTCATAAGGTGCATATTGTGCCTTAACATGCCCCCATTTCTTCACCAATTTATGCCAAAGTATGTGGTAAAAAATAATTTTGTGTGGTTTTTACACATGGATTGCATTTTTGCTGGGCATTTTGTATATTTCACATGTGCCACTAAGTTCAAACCCCCCAAATTATGCTCAGCTAAGTCTTCTGAGTAAAATGACACCCCCATTGTATGTCTTTGGCACTATTCTGTGAAGCTACAGTGACATATAGGAGACCTGTCCTTTTCAGTATTCACAGTAGAATTTTGAGAGACGGATTTAATAAGCCTATGCTTCCATTTGGGGTATTATACCAGTTTAACTGTTCAAAAAAAAACCACAAAGGCCTACCATTTGTAAAAGTAGACACTCCAGGGTATCTCATAAGGTGCATATTGTGCCTTAACATGCCCCCTTTTTTGTTCACCAATATATGCTAAAGTATGTGATATAAAATAATTTTGTACGTTTTTTACATATGGATTGCATTTTTGCTGGGCATTTTGTATATTTCACATGTGCCACTAATTTCAAACCCCCCAAATTATGCTCGGCTGAGTCTTCTGAGTAAAAAGGCACCCCCCAATGAATGTCTTTGGCACTATTTCGTGAAGCTACAGTGCCATATAGGAGACCAAGCCATGTCAGTTTTTACCGAACTTTGAATTTTGACGCTGGGCCTATGTGCAATTTCCAAGCATCTTAGCAGGGTTTAAATTAAAACTACCCCACAAAGGCCTATAATTTCTTAAAGTAGACACCCCAGGGTATTTCAAAAGGTATATTTTGAACCTTAGCGTGGGATCATTTTTTCTCTAGTTTGTTATAGGTGTAGTGGTAATGAATGTTTTTAAATGTATTTTTTTACTTTTTGAAACTTTTTTTACTTTTAAAAACTAGTTTTTAAACTTTTGTTTTGCTTATTAATTTTTTTTAAACTTTCCTAAACTTTCTTAAAACTTTTTTTTTTACAGATTTAACATTTTTCTAAGCTTTTTTTTTTTTACCGTTAACCCCTAACTAGCAGTAAGCAGCACTAGCAGTAAATTCCCCATTTTCCCATAACTCCCACCCACCCCAGCTAGCAAAATATATAATTATAAAATATTTAAATTAATTAATTAAATAAATTGAACCCATGAGGGTTAAAAAATAAATAAAAGTGAATCCTCAGGGGTTAAAAAAAATTAGATCACAATATAATACTGTGATCTGTATTTTGATCACTGTAGGCAGTGATCGACTGGCAGGGAAGAGGTTAATTTTTATTTGGACTGGGTAAAGGGGGGGGTTATTTTTTACTTAAACGTTATTAAAACTTTTTTTTTAGCTTTATTTTTTTTTTTTTTTAATATCTTTTTATTCTCAGATTTTCCACCATAAGTACATTTTACAAAAAAAAAATTAAAATACATTCATCCACATAAAAACAGACAAACAGAAGACAAAAAAAATCACAGAAAAACTATCCACCACCCCACGAGAGTTCTACAGACTTCCAACTTTTTCCAACTTTTTCAAATGACATTCCTTTTACAGTTGTAATAATTTTTTCTCCCAATTTTCCCATAGGCTCAAATCATCCTTCAAAAGTTTGCAATGATCTTTCTCCATTTTAAGTTGGTAAACCAACTGAATTGTTATTCCAATTTCTTGCTATTATTATTTTACAAGCCATTAAGCAATGGATAATTAAAAATTGATTTATTTTATTCAATTTTGGCCATTTATAATGTAATAACATGACTTCAGGTTTTAAAGGCATTTTGACATCACACAGTGTATGAATGATAAATTGAGCCCACTGCCATATAACAATCACTTGCTTACATGACCACCACATATGAATATAATTTCCCTTTTCCTCCCTGCATTTCCAACATTTAATGTCCCTCGATACATCAAATTTAGCTATTTTTGTTGGCGTCATATACCATTGATTAGCCAACTTAAAATGTGTTTCTATCAGTACAAAGGAGTGAACGTATTTGTTGATTTTTTGTGCCGTAAATAGCCATTCAGATAATTCAATATTTATTTTTAATTCAGTGTTCCATTTTTTAATGGCAGTGGGCAGGACAGAATCATCCATTAGATCCAACAGTCTAACACATCTAGAGAACAGTTGCTTTGTCTTATTCTGATGTAAGATTATTTTTAAAATATCGTACATCTTGCCTTCTTTTACTAACTCAACTTTCTCCAAGTAATGTTTTACTCTATAGTAAGTATATATATCTTTTTCAGAGAACTTCAATTCCTCAACTAACTTTTTATAAGATTTAATTTTATTTCCTTTAAATAGATCCTCTAAAATATTTATTCCTTTTTCTTTCTATAGTTTTAAGGATATACTCTCCATATTTAATTCTATTATTTCTAAATTTTGAAAGTCAAATATCTTATTTGCCAAGTCAATTTTTTTCCTTATTTTTTGCCAAATGGGAATAATCTGTCCTAAAATATACGATCTGGACAAATTACGCTTTTCTGTACCCCAGACTACTTCTAAATTGCTTCTTAATTGGCTATAATCTAGTTCCAACCACCACCATACTTCCTCTTTGTTTTGTTTCACTTGACTAGCCATAACATGCGTAATAATTCCTGCTTCATAGTATTTTCTTATATTTGGAAATCCTAGACCTCCCTTCTTTATTCCCCTTGCTAAAACTCCATTTTTAACTCTAGGTTTTTTTCCTCGCCATACAAAATCAGAAAAAGCCTTATTGATCATTGTCAGCCATGCATTCGGAATTTCTAACGGGAGCATTCTAAACAAGTAGATCCATTTTGGTAGAGCATATGATTTCAAAATGTTTATTCTTCCTCCCCAAGATACTTCTAATTTTCTCCATTCTTTCAAATTCTTATTAGTCTCTTTCAGGAGATCCATAAAATTTATTCTCATGATACTTTCTACCTTTCTACAAATTTTAATTCCCAAATACAAAAACATTTTAGCTTTAATAAAACCGTATGTTTCTTGATAAAAGTCTATTTCTTGCTTTGTCATATTCATATATATGGCAGTTGATTTTGTTTTATTTAATTTATAATTTGATACTGCGCTATATATATCAATTTCTGACATTGCATTTGTTATTGATATTGATGAATTCAAAAAAAGAATAGTATCATCAGCATAAAGGGATATTTTCATTTCTTTCTGTTTTGCTCCCTTAATATTTTCATTATTTCTGATTCTGTTAGCTAGAACCTCTAATGTTAATATAAACAATAAAGGGGATAGAGGACAGCCTTGTCTGGTCCCGTTATTCAGTTTGAACCAATCTGAACATATACCGGGGCCAATAGTTCTCGCCTTTGGATCTTTATATAAAGCAAAAATAGCATCAAGCAACCAACCTTGTATACCTAATTCCTCTAAAGTAAACTTCATAAAATCCCAGCTGACCCTGTCAAAGGCTTTTTCAGCATCTAAAGACAGGATCAGCATGGGACTTTTTTCCTTTTGTGAGAAATCTAATGCATTTATCACACGTCTCATATTATTACTTGACATCCTGTCTGGTACAAAACCTGTTTGATCAGGGTGGATTATTTGCTTAATGACTTCTTTTATTCTGCTAGCTATAATAGAAGAAAATATCTTGATATCCACATTTATTAATGATATTGGGCGATAACTCTGTACTCTAGTAGGATCTTTCCCAGGTTTCAATATAGGTAAAATATTTGTTTTAAGCATTTCCTCAGGAAATCTGCCCTTTTTAACTGCGGAATTAAAAGTGTTTTTTAAATGTTGTATCAAGTGAGGTTGCATAATTTTATAAAATTTATTTCCAAATCCATCTGGACCTGGCGTTTTATAGGTTTCTAATCTATCTATTGTTATCTTAATCTCTTCTTCCCTAATCTCTTTATTTAGATTATTTATCTGTAATTCTGTTATTTTATTCAATTTGGCTGACTTGATATATTTTTTTATTATTTCTGATGGAGTGGTTACTGAAAGACTATATAAATTAGCATAATACTCATTAAATGCCTTCCCTATCTGTTCTGGTAAAAGGGAGATATTATCATTAGTTATTATTTTATCAACCTTATTGGTCATATTTTTTTTTTTCAGCAAATTGGACAATATTTTATCCGCTCTATTAGATTTGTGATAATATTTAATTTTAAGTTTGAGCATATTTTTTTTTATTTTTTCATAAGTTTTTTCCTGAATTTCAGATTTAATTTTCTCTATTTTTAACTTAATGTCTTTAGTTGGAATATCTTTATTAAGTTTATTTAATTTATATAATTCCATATAAAGATTTTGTATATTTGCACCTTCTTTTTTTTTCTTAAGTTTATTAAGCATTATACAATATCCCCTTATTACTGCTTTAAATGAGCACCATAAAATATCATTCTCCACTAATCCGTTATTATTCTCTTCAAAATAACAGATAATCATCTTGTCTATATAATCTTTATGCTCCTTACTTAATAATAGTGATTCATCTAATCTCCACGTTATATTCTTGTTGTTATTTACTCTATTACTATTAAGTTCCAAGCTCACACTATCATGATCTGACCATATTACTGGTTTAATTTCTATTTTACCTATTTTATCTATTAATTTTAGATCTCCAAATATTAGGTCTATTCGAGAATATGAATTATGGGGCCAGGAATAGAACGTAAATTCTTTCCCTGCAGGATTGTTAAGTCTCCATATATCATATAAACCTTCTTTTTTCATCAAGTTGTTAAAAATCCTTGCGTTCTTTAAAACTTGCTTGTCCCAAATAGATTGTTTTTCTGAGAACTTATCTAATAGGGGATCTTGAATACTGTTAAAATCCCCTGCATATATCTTTTAGCTTTATTTTTAACTTTTTAAAGTTTATTTTAAAACTTTTTTTAACGTTAACCCCTAGTTAGCCTAACACCAAATCCCCCAATTCCCCACTAACTTCCACCCACCCACCCACCCCAGCTAGCTAAATATATAATTTTAAAATATTTTAATTAATTAATTAAATAAATTTAACCCCTGAGGGTTAAAAAAAAAGAATTAACCCTCAGGGGTTAAAAAAATCAGATGACAGTAAAATGTAATCCCTGTCAATTGATCACTGTACTCAGTGATCAATTGGCAGGGAAGTGGTTAATTTTTTATTAAAATGGGTAAAGGGGGTGGGATTTTAAACTAACTTTATTTTTTTTTACACAGGGGGCAGGATCATCACTGTTTCGCCTCCATGCACTTCACACAGAACCAGGAAGTGCAGGGAGGCAGAAGGTGAGTATATGGAGCACATGTGCTCGCTCTGACACCCTGTCAGAGCGAGCAACGGTGCTGGGGCAACCTGATCGGGTGCTCCCGGTCTGCCATTAATACAGAGGTAGACTGGAGCACCATTAACCTCGCGATCGCAGCGAAAGCGGCGATCCGGGGTTAATTTTAATGGGTGACGGACAAGGTCACTTGTCGTTATGGAAATCCCCTGAGTGACGGACCTCGTCCGTCACTCGTCATTAAGGGGTTAAAGGGGAAATTAAAAGGGAATTCAACCGCCTAAAAAAAGCTGGACTCAGTTATTTGTGAAAGAGGTGGCCTGTTGACAGCCTTATGTTTTATACCATTAGGATATACTAATAAATAAAACACTTAGGCATACCAGTTTGACAAGAGCAGTCATTTTGTAGCAACCAACAAGCTGTAATGGATGTTATCACAACTATTTTATTGAATGGTTTTCTTATATCAGTGGTATTAATAATAGCCCTGTCTAAGTATTATATTGTGGGCTATAATTTGTTGTTTAAAAAAAGGAAAATCTTGTTTTTTCCATATTACCTCAACACCATCAAAGTGCAACAGGAGTTACGTAGAGCTAATACATTACTGTCAAAGTCCAACAGGAGTTACATAGAGCTAATTACTCCATAATTTATGAGGAGTAAGCAGTATAAGACAATTTGGTTTGTCTGAATTGATTCATCAAAAAAAATAATAAGCATTAGTTTCGGGCAATTTCATACAATTGTTTAGTGAAAAAATGAACATATCGTTCCTTTGTTTCATGATTTGGAGTTCCGAGGCACCAAAAAAAGACATGATTGATGGTTAGTGTACAGTAATTCAATTTTGATCTTATCCATAGACCAAGTGAGAAGAGAGCTATAAAGGGAGAAAATAAAAACAGTAAACAAATCTATACTTATATATTTAATAAATATATGTAATATATAAATATATAAATACAGATTATCTGTGCAGGGAGTGAAGCAGGGAAGACCATAGAGACTAACTGTTGGTTTCCATACACTTTCTGACCCAAGGTGCATGTAAATGGCTGAAGGATCCTGTCATATACTAAATGAAGGAATGTGTTTTTCCCATTTGTTTTTTTGTTTTGTTTTTTTTACATATACTTCTTTTGAAAATATATCCATTTGCTTTCAATACTTGGTGAAAGGATTCATTTTGGCTTTGTTGATGCCTTACACTTGTATATATGACTGTATTGGACCATACACAGATTAAAGAGAATGCTAGGTACACTAATGTGATGCAGCAACAGAAAAGAACAAGATATTGAGACCAGACAGGAATTGGTTAAACATACTTAATAGGAAAAAATAAGCAAATCAGTCAAACAATCAGTCTGACCATTGTTATTGCTCTAATCTACATAAAATAGTTTACCTGTCCTGAATTCTACAAAGGTGTCATCTACTAAAACCTGTATTTCTTTTTTACTGTCCGATATTCTCCATTCTACCTACAATAAACATAAAAACTAGATTAGCAAAATAATGCTTATTAGAAAATGATATATATAAATATATATCGTTTTATTAACATACTTTCAATGTTCCCTGGTAAAAAGCAGCCAAACGAACAAGCGCAGATGTGTTAGCCATTACAGCCTCTGCCTGACGCGTTTCTGTTTGTCCTTGAAGGGTGAATACATTAGCTCCTTTGACAGAGGAAAGCCTGACTATGACAAATTCTCCCAGGCCTTTAAATGAATAATCCTGTCCATCAAATGTGGAAAAATGTAGTGTTCCATAGACTTGACCTGTAGGATGAACAAGTGTATTTATTGATACTTCTGATTTTTGTCAATATGCAACAAGTATATCATTCATATTTTCTATCTGTGAGTAATAGATCTGCTTTGTATGTTTTTGCGTGGTGAGGGTTTGTTATTAAATAATCACTTTCTGAGTTTTGATTTAATTTAAAGTAAATTATTATCAACATTTATATAGCGCCAACATATTCCGCAGCGCTTTACAATGATAGAATTGGGGTAATTGTTATTGACAACAGGTAACTGACATACAGAATAGTAACAAAGACAAGAGGTGAAGAAGGCTAAAAAGAGGAAGAAGGCTCTTCTTAAATGGACTTATAAGGTCTGCCACGATCAAAGCAGGGGCTGATCCAGAACCTAATCTCGAGAGGGGCACTGGTAGATTATTTAAAGGAACAATCCAGACACAATAACCACAACAGCTCTATGAAGTGGTTATGGTGTCAGGAGTGCTGCGTTGCCCTCCCAGAATAAGTAGTCAAACCACTTTAGAACAGTTTGACAACTTACCTGGAGTCTGCCAGGATAGGGGCAATAGTAGGGTATAGGGGCAGTAGTGTGTGAGGGGTGCAATGTGTGTGTGTGTGTGTGTGTGGGTGGGTGGGTGGGTGAGAAAGAGAGAGTGGTGCAGTGTGTGTGTGTGTGTGTGTGTGTGTGTGTGTGTGTGTGAGAAGTGAAGTGTGTGTGTGCGTGAGGGGTGAAATGTGTGAATGGTGCAGATTGTGTGAGGGGTGCAGTGTGCGTGTGTGGAGGGGTACAGTTTGTGTGTGTGTAAGGGGACAGTGTGTGTGTGTGAATGGTGCAGTGTGTGTGTGAGGGGTTCACCGTGTCTGAGGAGTGCAGTTTGTGTGAGCTGTGCAGTGTGTGTGAGGTGTGCAAGGTGTTTGAGGTGTGCAGTGTGTCTGAGGGGTGCAGTTTGTGTGTGTGAGGGGTACAGTGTGTGTGGAGTACAGTGTGTGTTTGAGGGGTAGAGTGTGTGTGGGGGATAGTGGGGTACAGTGTGTGAGTGAGGGGTACAGTGTGTGTAAGGGGTATAGAGTGTGGGCGGACAATGTGTGGGGGGGCAATGTGTGAATGTGGAAGTTATTGTGTGTGGGTGTAGGGGGAAGATTAAAAATATATATATATATGTGTTTTTTGTTTTTTTATTAAAATAAATAATCTTTAGATCCCTCCTCCCTTCTTACCTTTGCCTGGGAGGGGGGATCTTTCTCAATCCCTGGTGGTCAGTGGAGAGTGAACTCTAGCCTGAAGCTTCTGGGCTAGAGTTCACTCTCACAATATCTGGAGTACCACGGTAACTACGGCAACGCTCTGTGCTAGCAAGAGGAGGACCCGGAGGAGCTGCAGGCTGAACTCCCAGGACCTCTCTCCCTCTCCTGGCGGCTGCCAGCAAAGTGCCTGTGAACAGGTGAAGTAGATCTCTGATCTCCCCTTGTGAAGGCACATAGCAGGGCTTGGATAGCACCGGCCCTGCAGGGGAGAGCATCGGCTCTCAGTGAGGGGACAAATTGCCCCATTGATCCACCACTGGATCAAAATTTTTTATTTTTGTTCTTACCCCATATTAAGCAGCACCATGGAATCAGTTTTAATATAGGGAAAATATGGACTATGTAAATTGTACTGCTAATTTGTATTCAGTACAGCTGTCATCAGTCTGTTGCATTTATCACATTCCTGTTTTGGGCACATTACGCCCGGTCTTCATGGAAGTCCTGGATGTATACGTTCCCCTCCACGAATCAAACTGGCATTCGGTAGATAGAATCTACCGAACGAGGGGAACATTCGTATGTAACCAGCTGCACCATACGAACGGTGGTTTTCGTGTAGTTAGATGCAAACAGAGACCGGCTCTTGCTACTGATTCTATGGAACTCTAGCTCGGATACCTCCACATGGCGAGCCGATCAAACTTCCACACGATGCGACACGGAAACTACCGAATGGAAATTCGTGAGATTTGGATATGTGACTACCAGTATCCTCAGCTACCCAGGGATGTTAAAATTATAGTTGTATGTATTATAAAAAGTACTTTTCTGAAATTGTTAAAAATTATAATGTTTCTGGCCAGCAGATAATTGAGCTTTGTGTATTGCTGAAACCTAATTATCTAGCCTGGCCCAGAGGAGGAGTTTTGCATTGCATAAATTGTGAGTCCTGTGTGCCAGCAAATCAGTCTTGTTCCAGCATTAAGCTTTGGCTCATGTGTGGATTATTCGTCGATTCCAGGGATATTTCTACTTGTGGAATATTGGGTGATTTTCTTTTATGGGAAGAAGGGAGTGCTTGACGGTGATACCGTATACTACTGTCACGGTGTCTGTCAGTTTGTGTCAAATCAGTGAGTGTCTGTCAGTGAATGTGTGTGTCGGTAAGTGTGTCTGTCAGCGTGTGTCAAATCAGTGAGAGTATGTCTGTCAGTGAGTGTGTTAGTGTCCTCTGTGTGTGTTGTGTGTAAGTGTGTGTCAGTGTCTTCTGTGTGTAAGTGTGTGTGTGTCACTATCCTATGTGTGTAACTGTGTGTGTCAGTGTCCTCTGTGTGTATTATATTTTCATTTTGTGGCGTTTAAAATTCAGATTAATAGTTCATACAATCCTTCTTACATTCAAATAATTCACATTTTGTCATATTAATTTTGAAAAATATTCTTTAATACCTTTAATTTGGCTTGTTCTTCAATATAGGATTAACTTAAATATCAGTGTTTACACATTTCATTTGGACTTTAAATCAATATAAATTTTACTTTCCTGCATGGGTACTTCTCCATAAAAGGTTGAGAATTTAATAGGGGTTAAACTCTGTATGTGCAGCGTTTCATAGCAAAATGTTGCAAATACAGATTATAGGCACCATGACTACTTCAAAGCAGTAAAGTTGTCATGGTACTTGGTGAAACCTTTTATTGTTTCAATGAACTGCATAAATTGGTTTGTTTACAGTTCCTTTCCATGACACCCATATACTCATATACACTACCAAATTACTCACCTAATCCTGGTGCAGAATAATTGGCGCAGTTATCCAGGGGCCTTTTATCATAGTATAAATGACAGAGAGTTGTGTTTACACAGCACCACTGGAATGGCAACAAATCTTTGTCTGCAATGAGAAATAGTCAAATTAGTTAATAAAATGATAATATACCTTTGCATTCTAAGCCCTTAAATTGTTTTCTTTCTACGTCAGTCGTGCTATTTGCCCTTCCCACACCCTCTACAAGATAACATGGCCTACCTATATGATCTTCAATTCTCTTGATGCTAGAGTCATAAATAAAGTATCGATCAGTGATTCCAGTTTTTAAGTATCCATCTGAGTCATAAACGCATCTACGTCCTGCAAAATTTTGGTTTGGAAGAGTTGACTGGAACGTTGTTCCATTGCCTTGCAAAGATCTCAAGTTCCTTATCATATCTATGCTGGAAATGGACATGATATCAGGAATGAAGGAGACATCTTTAGCCACCTGAGGTTTAACACACGGGCAAGATGGTATGTTAACATTCCACGTAAAACTTTCAGGCTCTGAGTTATACCATTCCCAACATTTTTTATGGTAATCTATTTTACTAATATTCAGTGGAGCATCCAACCGGAATGCCCATAAACCAATTCTGTTAGTATTTCCAAGGACTTTGTGCGGCCTGTATCTTCCTTCTGGTCCATATGTGTTGTTCTTCTGAGTGTGTGGATCATTGTAAAATATGCCTTCTCCATTTGTGTAACCAATTAAAGCTCTGTGATACACCCTTTGTCCAGGGCCCCACGACATGTTGTAATATTTGAGTAAGGCAAAAGAAAAAGTTCCATCAGTTGTTATTACGCATTGGAATGTATTTGTCTGAATGTATGGAAAATAACATTAAATTAGGAGAAGAAACTGGAAGACATGCAAAATGGACAATACACAGTTTATACTTTATAAATTGTTTAAACTGTACCAGTCAACTAAAAACAATTTTATTGTAATCTATATTATAGAGTACATAACTTATTTAAAAAAAAACAACTTTTCTTGATTCCCTGGTAGGTAACTCTCCTTTCTGAATTCTTCCACACCAGTTCATCTCAGTCCAATTTATCTGAATATAAGAAAAGAACCTTCTTCCTGAGTATCTACTTATTATTGCACCAATTGTAATTAAAGGCACACTCGAAACAGGATGGGGCTGTTCCATTTTTGTTGAGTGTATTATATGGACAATGCATTAAAATACTTGCAAAAACAACAAATTAACAATCAAATAAATACATTAAAAGGAGAGTCACGTTTAAAGTTCCAGCTATTACTGTAAACCTCCAGACTTTGACGTTACTGTGACTATAACGGAGTTGTGAAATTTTTCCATATCAGAATTTGTTGCCTAAATTTTGTAACCTGGTTTTCGGCTCACTGTAATTCACTTTTCAGTGAATAAACCTTTATGTGCATCTTGTTCAGATGATCACATGTGAAGTTTGCTGATACTGATCGACCCTTCCATAGTGTCCATGTAGTGTTGGTATGCCACCTATTTGGAATACACCTTTTTCCCATGTTTTTAAAATGGTAGATCCTAATCAGTGGTCAGATATATAGCATCTAATGTATGTAAAGTGTGTAAGAAATGTAAAAATGTACAGTTTTAAAAATATATATTAACAAAGTAGGTTTACCTCATTTTTTGAAATTTTCTGGAAAGACACAGGTAAGATTTGATCCCATGTTATTTTTAATATCCATCTTGGAGTAAAGGCTGCGTTAAGATTCTTTAAGAAATATCTGTTTACTTCTTCAAAGGTTCTATTAAATATTATTTGTGAGTAGAGGTCTGTCTGATTTTCAGCTGTATATACCTGAAAAACACAGTTTATCATATTTTCCTATATAAATATACACACATTGCGCTCTACTAACGCTACATCTATCATCGATCTTTCCTGGTAAATATTTAATAAATAAATAAATAAAGGTGTCTATGTATTGTTCAGTATGAGCCCTAACATTATCTGTTTAAAGGTGAGGTGCGAGGCTTACAAGACTAAGCAATCAATGCTCTTGACAGGTAACTAATTTCTTTCCAACTTCCTTAAATATTTGTGCTTTCTGCATATGTGTCCTCTGAATATCCTGTTTTAACGTTTCATTAAAACAATATAACTTATTATTAAATTTACGTCATTGACACAAAGGAATAACCCACTATTTTTACTTTATTAATCTCTTTATATTACTTACAGATACTTTAAGGGAGTTTTGTTTTTATGTTGTTAAATATGTTTACTAAAAAGCAGAAAGGGATACAGTGTAGAATCTTAACTTAAATTTTCTCTTTACTCAACAAGTACCCCCTTCTCATACCCTTCTCTCTGAAAGCAACCTCCTTTTGACGTCATCTTATACCTACACTGCCAACTTTGATCTGCACAGTTTTTCATAGTCTGCCTCGTTCTCGTGGAATTTAATACCTTAAAGGACCACTATAGTGCCAGGGAAACAAAGTCATTTTCCTGTCACTATATAGTCCTTAGGTCCCCCCCACTTTCAGGGCCCCCCTCCTGCTGGGCGGAAAGGGTTAAAACCCCTTCAGCCTCTTACCTTAAATCCTGCGCCGGGCTCCTTCGGCGCTGGTGACCTCTCCTCCCCCTCCGACGTCAGCTCCCGAGTGGAGCCGAATGCGAATGCGCGGCCAGAGCTGTGCACGCATTCAAACCGCCCATAGGAAAGCATTACTTAATGCTTTCCTATGGATGTTCTGCGTGCTCAATGCGATTTTATCATTGAGCATCGTGGAAGACAGCCACTAGAGGCTGGATTAACCCTTCAATGTATTTCTCTGAAACTGCTATGTTTACAGCTGCAGGGTTAAAATCTAGGGGACCTGGCACACAGACCACTTCATTGAGCTGAAGTGGTCTGGGTGACTATAGTGGTCTTTTAAACCTTCAAACTGTCCCCTCCAGTCCTTCAACAATTCACCAAAAACACACCTCTTTAGGACAGCCTATCATCTTCCTGAGTGACGCTCTTCTCATTACACTTGTTCTTCTCAGTTCCGTCGCCTTTATACCCCATCACACTTTCTCTCCTTCCACTGTTCAGTTCTTCCACACACCACTCCGACTAGCTATTTTGACACAGGCATATTTTCCATCAGTCCCTCCTCTTGTCTGACATGCAGTTATTTCTCTACTGTATCTATACCCATTCCTTATAGATCGTAAGCGTGTTTGAGCAGAGTCTTCTTTGTCTCGTCTCTTGTTAATTTTTTTTTTAATGTCAATTACTTGTTATCAATTACCCCCCCTTCTATGATTATAAAGCACTGCAGAATTTGTTAGCGTTATGTAAATGATAATAATAATAACTCATGTTTTTGTTTTTATAGTAAATTAACACCAAAACAGTTTGATGGAATGCTAAAAATCAGTCAGCCAATACCAACCTGATACCAAAGATTCCCTTGTCCCAGTGTGAGATCAGAATCGTCCCAAAACACGGCCAATAAGGCCATCTTTTCATCTCCTCTAAATCCCTTTCCAAAAGGATTAGGAAACAAATATTTCTCAGTGACATTGGGTGGCTGAAATTGAACCAGGCCATTATCTGAAAACTATAAATGAGAAATAAGACAGTAATCACTTAATTCATTAATAAACAATGACCTGTGTACGTCAGTTCTACAATTATCACAAATTTGGTATCAACTCCAGTTCTAATGATGATCTGAATGGCCTCAGAAACAAGGCAGCAACTGTATGCTTTACTTATGTTTTGTGTTTGTAACTGTTTAAATACTCTGGACAGTGAAATGTGTAAATTCAAGTTTACCCACCATCTTAACAGTATACCTTATTAGGACTTTTCTAAATATGTTTTTACTGTATTACCGCCACTTTGATTTCTGTCTATGAATAGAAACACAGACACATAGAATGTGACGGCAGATAAGAACCATTCGGCCCATCTAATCTGCCCAATTTTCTAAATACTTTCATTAGTCCCTGGCCTTATCTTATAGTTAGGATAGCCTTATGCCTATCCCACGCATGCTTAAACTCCTTTACTGTGTTAACCTCTACCACCTCAGCTAGAAGGCTATTCCATGCATCCACTACCCTCTCAGTAATTGAAAATTTTTTTAAGCCTTTGTCCCTCTAATTTAAGACTATGTCCTCTTGGTGGTAGTAGTTTTTCTTCTTTTAAATATAGTCTCCTCCTTTACTGTTTTGATTCCCTTTATGTATTTAAATGTTTCTATCATATCCCCCCTGTCTCGTCTTTCCTCCAAACTGTACATGTTAGGTTCCTTTAACCTTTCCTTGTATATATATATATATATATATAAACAATACTTACATGTACTTTGTAGTAGGTCTGTCCCAGGAATGGAAATCCTATGTATGGGATTATAACTGGTGAAATTACATCTTTGCTTTTTGCTAGTACAGATAAATCACCAATACTCCCTCCAAACGGATAAAGCAAAGTTTCTGCAGGAAATAATTTTAAAGTATATTTGAAAGAATATATATTTATTCTAAAAAAAAATAACATTTGAAGAAATTGTGAAAATATCAACAGAAACGTTAAAATATGTAATGCTTTTACTCACTTCCTATATCTAAAAGACAAAATAAATTATATTTTTTAAATTATATATTATTATCTCAAAATGTACATCTAGTTTTGCCAAATTGTGGAAATCTTGTCATTATAATAATTTAAATGTAGTCCCTGCTTCTCCTGCTTCTTAGCAGACATATTAGAGCAGTGATGGCGAACCTATGGCACGCGTGCCACAGGTGGCACGCCGGGCCCTCTCTGTGGGCACGCGGCCATAGGTTTGCCATCACTGCAGAGTAGGCGTCTGCCTGCCCGAAACGGCAGGCGCCTACTCTGCTTCTATGTCGGCAGGACCGGAAGCAGGGAGGAGGGATCGAGGAAACAGCTCTCCTGTCCTCCTGCGAGCTATGTGGCAACGCATGTGGAGCTATTACCATGGCAACGCTCCACACAGCATCGCGCGGGAGGACAGGAGAGCTGCAGGACTTGTCATCCTGTCCTGCATACCACCACCAGACCACCAGGGATGGCTGTGTCCCCCCCTCCCCTTCACCAAAGGTTAGAAGAAGGGAAGGGGGGGGTACTGATTTAATAATCTATCCCCCTTACCCACAGCACCCCTACCCCCAGCACCCCTACCCACAGAACCCTTACCCCCAGCACCCCCACTACCCACAGCACCCCTACCCCTCTTACCCACAACACCCCTACCTCCAGCACCCCTACACCCCATAGCACCTCTACCCTCCTTACCCACAGCACCCCTACTCCCCCTACCCCCAGCACCCCTACCCACAGCACCCCTACCCCCCCACACACACACCCCCCCAAACACACAGCACCCCCACACACACAGCACCCTTACACACACAGCACCCTTTCCCCCAAACACACACAGCACCCTTTCCCCCAAACACACACAGCACCCCAACCCCCACACATTACACACAGACACATACACTGCACCCCTCAATGCAGTATATGTGTGTGTATTCAGTGTGTATTCAGCAGACTGCGTGCGTGTATTCAGCAGACTGCGTACTCAGCAGTGTGCATGTATTTAGCGGACTGTGTGTGTATTTAGCAGTCTGTCTGTGTCTCGGTGAGTGTATGTATTAAGCAGTTGTTGTGTGAATGTGTTCAGCAGTCTGTGTGTATGTATTGCATTTGTTGGAGATACTAATATAAGCTTAATTTATATCGTTATTTAAAATTTGTATAATTTAACTCTCTGTTGTGTTCTTCTTTTAAAACAAAAGTTGTTAACTGTACGAGTAGTTTTTTCTAAACGTAAACCTCACTATTCAGGTTTAATTTCCATGTTGGCACTTTGATGGAAAAAAAGTTGGCATGTATTGCGGTTTGGGCACTCGGGCTCAAAAAGGTTCGCCATCACTGTATTAGAGGGTCACATCAATAAGTATATTTTATCTATTTTGTTACTCAGCTTACCTGATAAATTAACTGTAAATTGACAAAAAATGTCATAACATTTACAGCCAAATGCGCTGTAAGGGTCATGGGAGATATAGTCAATTAATAGAAATAGGTTTAATATTTCAAAGTTGTAAACTCATTAAATAGAGCCAATTTCTCTGCTTGTCCCTGTTCACATGAATTTGTCATTATATAAAAAATATATATATTTTTTGCTATTTTAGATCCAGAATGTAAAATTTTAACAAGCTGTAGACTATTTTGACCTCACAAAAATAAAATTAATAACAACTACAGTTCTATCGTATTAAACGTTCTCTAAATGTAAATTTCATATAAAGCCAGTTGCCAACTTGAGATAGCCAGTCAACATTAATCCAGGTGAAATAAGCTCTTGATAAATTATACAGTTTAAAATCACAAACAACTTTCTAAAAAATCATCAGTGCTTCCATTCACAATAAGAATGCAGATAATTAATTAAATTGCTACCTAAACACAGAGAACAATTTGTCCTCTATTATCTTAACATCACCCTTCATTTTATTGTCTATTTTCTATTGATCTGTTTTTTCTCGTATGTATTTTTCTCTCCCAATATGAGGATAATTGTCCTGCAATCATAATCTTTGCATATTTGTGACCCAGATTGTTTCTAAAGTGTGTATATTAACCAGTACATTTCGGTAAATTGGCAAAGACATTGCAAAATTTGGGCATTAAAATAAATTTGGAAAATAATCACTCATTTTCTTATTCGGTTCAAATTGTGCAATCCTCTTGTCAGTTCAACACAATTAACTGTTTAGTAAATAAATGAATTTTGTACTACTGAAGGGTTAGATAAAAAGTAGTGGTTTCAATTGCCATATTCACTCATTATTATGTTCCTTCATTCTGTGAAAAAACTAAAAAGTTGCAAGAAGTAATATTCCACTTAATTTTCATTACTTGCACTTTAACAATCTAAAAATTAAGATAGCAAATAAAACATTTTAGATTTTTTTTTTAAATATTTTTCTTTCAAAATTGAACAGTTATGTATTGAAAATCTAACTGCAAACAAATAGTACTATTTTTCTAATTTAGGGGGTTTATACTCTATTGTTCTAGTGAACGGTAGTGAGTTGAATATTTAATTGCCAAATTTTTGACAAAATATCTAGTTTGGAAAAATTCTCCAACCCACTACATGACTATTTTAGCCTGAATTTTTAAATTCAGTTTTCAACGCATTACAACATGCTTTTTATTGAATAAATCTTTCTGTAATTAAATTGCACAAGCTTTGTAGCTCCCAAAATGCATTGTAAGACTTCAAATGCTGCAATTAAATGTGCAACTCTCAATCATGCAGGTTAGTAAGGTTTAACTCAGAATATCCTCAGATCAAGAAACCAATCAAATGACTAATGTGCACCATCATCAAGAATTGCCTGTGAGTATGCTTTCATTACACAGAAAATAAATCTTACATACAAGATCTAACATGTCCAGAAATCTATTAAATTAAACTCAGATTTTATAGTCCTACTAGAATTAACTAAAATAAAACCAACCATTGACTGCAGTTTGACGGCAGGGACTGTTTAGATCACATGTGCATTTATAGGACCCCAGAGTATTGATACAGTTCAAGTTTTCTTTACACGTATCTGCAGATTCGCATTCATTTATATCTTTACAGACATGCCCATTACCTACAAAACCAGATTTGCAACTGCAAGAAAAACTTCCAGGTGTGTTAATACATAATGCATCAGAATGACAACCTCCATTTGCAACTGTGCACTCGTCAATATCTGCGCAAATGTCTCCGATGGACAAAAAGCCCAGAGAGCAATCGCAATAGAAAGATCCTGGTGTGTTCAAGCACAGTGCTTGATGATGACAATAGCTCTTCGTTTCCGAGCATTCATCTACATCAACGCAAGTGTTGTTTTTCAGAATGTAGCCTAGAGGACATGTACAAAAATATGATCCGGGAACATTGTAACACAAACCGGCTGAACCACAATAAGATATTTTGTGTAGGCATTCGTTGATATCTATGCAGTTATCAGCCTGTAACCTATATCCATCTCTACAAAAACAGCTGTAGGAACCTTCTGAGTTTAGGCAAAGCATGTTATCGGAACACGCTGAGTTAGTCAAACACTCATCAACATCTTCACATACTTTGCCATTTCCAATAAACCCAGTTTGGCATGAACATTGATAGGATCCAAGCGTGTTGTGGCAAGAAGCATTATTATGGCATTCGTTAAAATCTTGCAAACACTCATTGATGTCCACACAAAGGTCACCATCTTTAACAAAGCCTTCATAGCACTGGCATATAAAGGAACCTCTGGTGTTCATACACTCATGGGACATATCGCATACTGTTATATTCAATGCACATTCATCAATGTCTATGCAACTACTTCCATTGCTTTGAAAGCCCATGTCACACAGACAGAAGAAAGACCCAATGGTGTTAATGCACTGGGAGCCATTGTGACAGATACTTGTGCTGTATGATTCTAAACATTCATTGATGTCCTCACAAAGTGAATCATTCCCTCTGAAGCCATCGGTACAGTTGCAGTAATATGAACCAGGGTAATTAACACAAACACTATTTGGATGACATGTTAAGGGGTTTATGCACTCATCAATATCAAGGCAGGCTATGCCACCTTTGCTTTTGTAACCAACCCAACAGTCACAATAGTAAGATCCAATGCTGTTAACACAAGTCGAAATATTTGGACAGACAGGAGGGTGAAAAATACACTCATCAAGATCTTGACAATACGTCCCATTTCCTGAAAATCCAGATTTACAAGTACAATGGAAGGATCCCTCTGTATTTGTGCAGGTGGCATTTTCATGGCATGAGGTTTGATCTATGCATTCGTCTATATCGGTACATGAGTTGTTGGCAGATGCAAATCCAGTAAGGCAGAGACAAGCGTAAGAGCCAAAGACATTTTTACAATGGGCATTGTTTCCACAAACATGGCCATCATAACATTCGTCTACATCAGTGCAGTTTATTCCATCGCCAATGAATCCTTTGTTGCAGATACACTGGTAGGACCCTGCAGTGTTAATACAAAGTGAATTATTGTTGCAGATGGTCCCATTGCCTCGACATTCATCAAAATCAAAGCATTCTGTTCCGTTTCCCAAGAATCCTTCCTTGCACGTGCAGTAGTAGGATCCCACTGTATTTGTACAGGTTGCTGATTCGTGACATTTTCGGAGAGGAGCCTGGCACTCATCAATGTCTATAATTTGTTACCAAAATAAATGTCAGGATATATTGCCTGTAATCTTATATATACTTGATATAATAAGAAAAATAATCTTAGCATAACAAAATTATTGAAAGCAGGAAGCAACTAGCAACAAATTAAACATAAAGGTGTCTGCATGACCATAGGTTTTAGAAGCAATAAGATGAAATCCATAACTCCATGTTTATTTATACTTGACTCCCTGTCAATCAATCATATAAGCTCTGCCCATGGCACCTGTCAGTCAACATAGCACATAAGCCCACTGTTTGATAGTGGAATAAAGAGTAATTGAAGGTTTATTACAGTGTTGCGTGTCAATCTTTATATCTGTTCCTTGCATTATGAGCTTCTGTAGGGGATGGGGGCATTATATCCACACCTGAACTGGATTGTGATATCTGTTGCCAAAAATTATCATACATTTAAAAGAAAATGGAGCATAATGTGAGAAAAAAAGTGTTTTGAAAGCTATAGATGATTTTTAATGACTTAGTCAAAGGTGTATTTTAAAGGAACATTATAGTCACCAAAACAATTTTAGCTTAATGAAGCAGTTTTGGTGTACAGATCATGCCTCTGAAGTTTTACTGCTCAATTATCTGCCATTTATAAGTTATATCCCTCTTGTTTCTGTTTATGTAGCCCTTCCCACACTTCCCTTGCCAGTGACTGACACAGCCTACATGAAAAAAATGGTTTTAATTTTCAATTAGATGTTGAGTTACTTGAGTTACTTTAGAAGTTTTTATCGCCTGCTCTGTAAATTGAACTTTAATCACACATAAGAGGCTCCTGCGAGGCCTATCAAGCTATTAGCAGGAGATAAGAAATTCTAAATTAAAGAAGAGGAAGTTTAAATACTAGATCTGACTTTTGAGGAAGTGTTTAAGAAAGTTGTGTAACTCACATGCAGAGAGGTGTGGCTATGGCTGCATAAATAAAGTGATTTAAGTTCTAAATGGCAGTGAATTGAGCAGTGAGACTGCAGGGGTACTATCAATAGACCAAAACAACTTAATTAAGCTAAAGTTGTTTTGGTGACTGTAGTAACCTTTAAATACCAGCAAACATTCATATTTGGGCACTTGATCTATATTTGCAACATGATAGCCCATAGCCCTTGGCTACCTTTAAAATATACAAAAGCTGTCCATATTCTGACAAATTTCAGATTAAGTTAAAAATAAATGCACATTACCTGGAGCTTAATGGGGTGAACATCAATTTACACCTGTTTTAGCAATTTTTTGTGTTATTTAACATATTTTGTCTCGGTAACTAAACCAAAAAAGTGTCATTTTCCAATAGATTACACACAAATGTTATATAATATCTTTTGTATAACCTTGTGGCATACCTGACAACACATTGCAAAGCCAGTTGTTATACAAATAAATATGAATGGAAGCCACATAAATACAAATTAGTTTAAACTATGATTATTGAAGGTTCTGTCTGCTAACACAGAATTATTTTATGTTATTTTTAGATCTGTGCAAACCTGGTATCTAGGAAACTTTAGAGGAAAGGCTAATAATAGGAAGATATAAAATTTGCAGCTGATTCTTAAAGTGACAGAACAGGGCAGAGTTGACCCCGATATTAATGTATCATAAATGTTGCAAAATAATAAATAAAACAATAGAAAGAAAATCTGTTCACGGATATTTCATCATTTGCAGGCAATCTTCTCCATTTCAGCTAAATTTTCAGTAGACCCATTTTGGCCTGCAATCCCCTTTTCAATTCTCCACAATTCCCAGGTTTGTAAAATGCCCTAATATTTTTCACTAATAACCAGAAAGTGCCTGAAAATTTTCAGCCAGTCCTGACTCTGATTATGTTTAAAGGACAACTGTCACTTCTAAACTAAAACTTGAACCATATCATTAATATAAGACACTGATTGATGATATATCATACGATATATGACTGCCATCATCTTGCTTAGATTCTCTGCATTCTTATGCCCTTCCACCTCCACCAGGCATTATTTTCCCATGATTCCCTATGTGTGAATGCATCACAAGCTACATGAGGGCGATTAGGGGACATTTTTATTTGCATCATGTGCCAGGCTGTGCCAGCACAACCTTATATTTAATAAAACTGTAAATATAATAAAAATATAAGGTTAAAAGAAAAAAGTGATTTTTAACTCCTAAAACATGCCAATACTTTGCAAGTGACAAATCCATTTTAACAACTAAAGGAGTGCACTCCTTTTCTCTATATCTTGCATATTAATATTGTTATATCTGACTGGAGGTGAATGAGCCACAATTATGAAGGCTTAGCCATCACTGAACCAGGGATTGGCATAGCTTTGCAACATAAAGCACAGTGAGAGGCAGATACCGTTCGGCAGCACATACTCAACCTTAGCTTGCTCCCCCTATCAGATAACTTGCATCATACAAAAGATTACTTATATTCATATTTTCAATAGAATGTACCATTGGTAGCAACATCTGGCATTCTAGAGGTTCTGAGCAATAACTCCCATGATGTAAGAACACTTAAGGAAAAACTATTGATTAGGGATTCCTCCTAATTTTTAATTTGTTAACAAGATAAAATAAATTATTAAGTAGTTTATCATCATTTAGGATGAGCGAAACTGCTCTGTAAACAGAAAGACTACTATCAGTTTACCCATAATACTAGGTAACTAGGCCACGTTAGGTTCTTGGCGTGGTACAGTAGTTATAGAGCTTTGACTAGCTGTCTAGCTGAGCATTAAATAGGGCAAGAAACATGGCAGCTGGTATGTCACAAGTGCCCCTGTGAAGTGTTAGCTTACCTGTACAATTCAATCCGTTTCCTAGGAAGCCATTCTTACATTTGCACTGATAGCTGCCTATAGAATTTAAACATTCTGCGAAGGGGTGGCACCCGTGACTGTCTGTGGCACACTCATCAATGTCTTCAGGATTTAAAAAAAAAAAATACATATAATTAGTTATACTATTCATGTTCCAAAAATGTGCATTTATACTTTTAATTAAGGTGAATACAGTGACATATTCAGAGACACTGGTGGGAAAGAAATATATTGTAAAACTGGAAAAAATATTTAGTCAGGCTGCAAAACTGATTATGTGAATGGTAGATTATATTTATAACAAAAGATGTCTCATGATAAATGATAACGTTATTGAAATTTATACAGAGCAAGTACAACCGACTGTTTGGTAACTTGCTCATTAACAGAATTGTACAGGGGACAAAAGTTAATTCAATGAGATTTCACCTACAGCAGATTAAACATTTCTTTAAATACAAAACAATAAAGATGTGGATTTCTCTGCTTTGATTCTGGAGATATTTTTTTAAAGAGTCTGGATGCTTTTTTTTTAGCAAAACATAATATTATGAACTATAATAGTTATAATGTGTGCAAATGATAGCGTTTTCATCCAAAGAGAAATCTGATTGTCATTTGCGAGTCAAGAAGGAACTTTTTCCCTTTTTACAGCAGCATTGGCAAATTTTTAATGTTGAACTGGGTAATTCATGAACCAGTTGCAGAAACAGAGAAATGTGAAAAGTTGAACTTAATGGACAAAGTCACTCTGTAGTGCATGGGGGTTTTACAAGCCTGCTGTTTTTATTGCTGATTGGAACAACGTCTGAGCACCTTTAAGTCCTTGGCGTATTATTTGGAGTGAATATAGTTAGAGCAGACTGTACTGCTCTGTGTCTGAGTGCTTTTCCTTCCTCAATGACTTTATGTGAACTGGCAATATTGCCCTATTGTGTTTCTTTTTCTTTTTTACATGTGACACGTGTGTCTGTGTGTCTGTGTGTCTGTGGGGTGGGGAAGAGAGAAATAGAAAACTGCATTCTGGCTTCTTCCTTTTTCTGATTACAGTCTTGTAGCATAAACCTACATCGTATTTATTAATTCATATATTCTTCTAAGAAGGCTGTGCAGTCACCCTATGTGCTGCACTATGTTACTAAAGGGGTTGTTTTTGTATATGTTGTAGCGCAAAACAAAAAGCTCCTAAATGCATCGATGTAAAAGAGAATTTTTTTCAGTGATTTGCTATTTTAAGGCTGCAATGTAATCTGCATATTAGTAAGAATATCAGTTTGCAGTCTCCTTACCTGAGCATTGAGTATTATTCAGCTTGAAGCCCGGCTTGCAAATGCAGGTATAGGAGCCTGGGGTATTAACACAGAATGTTGTGTTGTCTTTGCACACGTCTGTCAGGCATTCATCAATGTCAGTGCAGATGAGACCATTCCCTTGGAAGCCAACATCACATACACACTGATAGTCCCTGCTCGTATAATGACATAGGGCTTTGGAGTGACATGCAGGCTGGCATGAGTCACTCTGTGGGGCACAGCTCCCATTCCGAACCAGAGTTCCATTTAAACATGAACAGACATAGGAACCCAGAGAGTTAATGCAAACACTACCACTGATACAAGTATCTTTGCTCAATGAACATTCATTGATGTCTTCGCAAAGAAACCCATCTCCAGCAAATCCATGTAAACATTCACATCTGTAACTCCCGGGCAGATTGGAACAAACGGCGTGTTGGTGGCACGTATACAGATTTGTACATTCATTGATATCTGTGCAGTTAAATCCATTGCCTTCAAATCCCATGCTACAGCTACAATCAAATGAACCAAATGTGTTGCTGCAAGACGCTCGCTCATGGCAAGGGTTGCTCTGGCATTCATTGATGTCATTACAGCTAAGCCCATTGTTGCTACTGAAGCCAGGTTTGCATTGACAATAATATGATCCGAAGGTATTAAAACAGAGAGAATTAAGCTGGCAGATTCCACTCACGTCCTTGCACTCATCAATATCATAGCAGGAAGTGTCATTAATAGCTTGGAATCCACTGGCACACTGGCATCGGAAAGAGCCAGGCGTATTCAGACATACAGCTCCATGGAGACAGTTCCCATTGTTATCCTTGCATTCATCTATATCTTGACACTGCAGAATACCATCACCAGTGTAGCCTGGTGAACATTTGCACGTGTAAGACCCTTGCGTATTGACACATTCTCCATTGGCGTGGCATCCCCCATTCTTTTGAGCACACTCATTGATATCTGCACACACAGTTCCGTTTCCGGAGAAGCCATTTCTACACACGCAAGAAAAGCTTCCTGGATAATTTTGACATGTTGCAAACGCACTGCAAATTCCAATATTGCATTCATTAATGTCTGTACACCCTGTTCTATTAAGCACGAAGCCGGTGGGGCATTCACACCTGAATGACCCTGCAGTATTGCGACATGTTGAGTCACCCGGACATATATTAGGTTGAAGGCATTCGTTTATGTCCGTACAGACAAATCCATTGCCTGAGAATCCAGCTCTGCATGTACAATTATAGCTGCCCAGAAAGTTCAAGCAGTTGGCGTATTGATGGCATTTGTTGTCCGAAACACATTCATTAATGTCCACGCAAGCAAGGCCATTGCCACTAAACCCTTCCCGGCAAGCACAGCTGTAGGATCCCTGGAAATTGGTGCAGTTGGAAAACGGGCTGCAGACTTTGTTAGCGCATTCATCGATATCCAAACATCTGTTTTCAGTAAAATAGTAGCCAGAGGCACAAGTGCACTGATAAGAGCCAGGTAAGTTTCGGCATCCAAGAAATCCAAAGGCTTGGGAACAAATTCCGGGGGTGTCAGAGCATTCATCCAAGTCCAGACATAGGTAGTTCCCATTCCCTTTGTAGCCATGGTTACATGTACATGAATAGGACCCCGGTGTATTGGTGCATGTGGCATTCCAGTGGCATAAATTGGACCTTTTACATTCGTCATCATCCGTACAGGAGAGGCCATTACCGGTATACCCAGTCTTACACTGGCAGGTCCTATCTCCAGCCGTGTTAGTACATATCGCATCTGCATGGCACCCGCCATTTCCTGATAAGCATTCGTTGATGTCAGTGCAAGTAATGCCATTTCCAGTGTAACCAGGCTTGCACAGGCATGAATAGCTTCCTTCTGTGTTCAGGCAGGTCGCCTGTGGGTGGCACTGGTGCAGTGAGGTTTTGCATTCATTAATATCAGTGCAGACTTCCCCAGTGCCAGAATACCCTGTTAAGCACACACAAAAATATTCTCCTCTGATGGTACTCAGACACTCTGCGTTTCTATGGCAACTCAGTCCGTGATCCATACAGATATCACTGGCTGCAAAAGAAAGAACAGAGTCTAAGATGTGGTGCACACATGGGCTTTAATTATTTTTAAAAGATATCTCCTAATGTTGGCTTTTGCCATAGGCAGTAACAGTTTCCTGCTAGATAGCTATGCTTGCTGTGCTTTTTCTTAAAACCTTTGTAAAAAGAAACATATTGTGACATAATAATTCTTGCAGAGTAATTTTATACTGGAAGATCATTAATAATGTATGTTCTATAAATTTTATTTAAAGGGACACTATAGTCACCAGAACAACTACAGCTTAATGTAGTTGTTCTGGTGAGTATAATAGTTGCCTTCAGGCTTTTTTCATGCAAACACTGCCTTTTTAGAGAAAAGGCAGTGTTTACATTGCCTCTAGGGACACCTCCAAGTGCCCACTCCTTAGATGGCTACTGGAGGTGCTTCCTGAGTCAGTGCTGCTAAAAAAGCAGCCCTGACGTTCAGCATCCATGGAGACGCTGAATTTTCCTCATAGAGATGCATTGATTCAATGCATATCTATGAGGAGGTCCTGATTGGCCAAAATGGCATTTGGGCCCGCCCCCTTGCCAATTTTAGCCAATCCAATGCTTTCCCTATGGCTAAAAATCGGCCATTATATATGTTTGTGTTCCTGACCCTATAGTGTTCCTTTAATACAATGATTATAGACAATAGAGCATGTGGGCTGTTAGAAAAGTAAATACTGGCCAATTTTACAAAATGTACTTTGCTCACCTTTCATATTAATAAAACCATTAGAAAAGGGCCGGTGGTGGTGGCACAATCTCTTCTTTCATATAGATAAAACTAAACCCAGTGTTTTAAACTGATCTCAATGTAAGAAATCAGTACACTAAGACCTTTATATACCTTATTTTCATGCTTGGTTCGCTGGAATTTAGGTGGTTCTTTATATTTTACAAAAAACATTATGTGCGCTCTTTTCCTAATTCCATAAAAGCTTTAAGCAGCCATGCTAATTTTTGGGGTTGAACTCAGACAGTCATTGTGTTGGGTTCCCAAACTCGGCAGACCCAGAAATCTAGGGATCTATCCTACTGGAAGTAATACAACTTCTCTCAGGCCAGGCCTGGACTGGCCATCGGGCAAAACTCCCGGTAGGCCACGATGGCCATGGCTTGAAGCAGACAGGGGAGATCACCTTAGGGCTGGTGCTGCCTGACCTCCGGCTCTGTGGCTGACAAAGATCTCTCTCACCATCCTGCACACTCATTCTCCAGCACAGCAGCAGGCTCAGTGCACATGGTGTACACCTGCAGGGGTGTGGACAATATACTTCATCCACTGGACCACCAAGGAAAATTATTCCTCCCCAGGAATGGGGGAGTAAACTTTACAGATCTTTTTTTATTTTTTTTATTATTTAATTAGAGATGTAAGTTTTTTTTTTTGCTGACTGCACCCTCTCAGCTAGCAGCCCCCTGCCCCATTTTTGTCAGCTGCCCCAACTCACAGCCAGCAGCCCCCTGCCCAATTCACAGCCAGCAACCCCTGCCCTCCCTCTCAGCCAGCAGCCCCCGGCCCCACTATGTCAGCAGCCCCCACCCCCGTCAGCCAGCAGCCCCCTGCCTCACTCTTAGCCAGCAGCCCCCTTCCCCCCTCAACCAGCAGCCACCTTCCCCTACTCTCAGTCAGCAGCCCCTGCCCCCCTTTCAGCCAGGAGCCTCCTGTCCCACTCAAAGCCTAGTAGCCCCTACCCCCTCACACAGCAACCCCTGTCCTCTCTCTCAGCCAGCAGCACCTTGTCCTCCCTCTCAACTAGCAGCCCCTGTCCCTCTCTCAGCCAGCAACCCCTGTCCCCCTTTCAGCCAGCAGCCCACTGTCCTCCCTCTCAGCCAGCATGCCACTCAGGAATATAGAGCCTCCTATTCTGGCATAACACAAGGAGTGCTGTAAGGTTTTATAATAGAGTGAGGGCCATACCCTGTGCAGCGTGATGGTGGCTTTAAAAATATGCCTCACTAATTTACTTTATTATTAAATCCTCTCCCACAGACATCTGGTAAAGGTAAGTGAAGTATAACACAGGAGACCCTCTCATCAGGTAGATAGTGTCCTCAGAACTCCAAATTAATTTATTAAAATCCTCCATCCCACTGTAAGGGGGCACGTGGGGAGTGTTAGCAGATCACGTACTCTGTAAATAACCCCCACTCACAATATGTGAATTAAAGGGAAGGGGAGCACCATTAAGCAGGTCCAAATTTTATGTAAAGGCGGTGCGATTGAGTCAAACGGATTTATTACATTTCCCTATTCTAGCAAATAGGGGATGTGACAGGAGAATGGCTGCTATTATGAACCCCTCGTTCACCACATATCAGCTAGGAAAAAAATATAGTTTTTAAACATTTTTTAACAAGGGCCTGTATAATTACTGTTATCGCCCTATTGCATTATTGATGGTTTATTCTCAAGTTAGTGTCTAATTAACTCTGAATGCATGCATTATATTTAAATATACAGTTAGAATGTACCTATAAAGTATCACAACAGAAAATATATAATACTTACCCCCAGAATTTGGGCAGTCTGTTATCCCCCACCATATCCATAGTATTAGGGTTATCCTAGTCAGATAAATAATAATAATAATAACCATTATAAAATAAGCAAACACAGATCTATATAGCACAGAAACTATGTAGCGCTTGAAGAACAATCATTAGTTACATTTTTATATGTTGTCGCCTTTATTATTAATAGCGAATTAGTAACGTTTAAAGGTAGACCTGACAATATATATTTTACCTATTTTGCTGTTGTCAGACCAATAAGAAACACAGTTTAGGATAGACTGACAATTAGGCATAGTCTCAAATTGACCCCTAATAGTATCCCTAATTGTAGTCCTAAACATGATATTTATTATGATATATAGTCAATGTAATCATAACTCTGCTTCTTACTGGGTTCTTTAAATGACAAAACGCAGTTCTGGAATCCATCGTGGGGTGAGGGTGGCCATGCAACTTACTTGCAATGGACATTCATTTTAATACATACATGTTATCTGTGCGTTTGAGGTATATAGTTAGTCTAAACGTACATGTAGAATTCATATGACATGTGATCATGTCTGTTTAGTACCCATTAAATAAGAACGGGTCATTGCGTGCTTAGAATATTTAGATATGCCTAGAATGTGACTCCCTAATAAAATAAATAAATACATAAATAAAAGGTATACAAAACTTCATGAAACACTTATTAAAACCCACGTAATGTACAAGCCCCCAACAAGCTGAATACCATTTGAAATATTGCAAATATAATGTTAGGTAGCTTAAATTGTATTTTGCATGCACACTCCACATTGTGAGAACCATAAAGAATAACAATTCACACAATAAATTTAGTCTACAATACTTACAATTTCATAGTGCTTGAGGATAATTATGTTGCAAGTAATGAAGAATTAAGTTAATTAAGGATCCTCCGATTCTGTTCTTGAAGTGCCCACTGGCATCGGCTGAAAGAAAAAAAAACATTTGTTTACTGTATAGGGAATTCTTCTTTGAACCTCAATACATTCAAATTTCACTCACACACAAAAAAATGTCAAATATAACGTGGATAATGTTTTTCATGACACTGCTTCTGCTGTTCAATATTACATGGATATTTTATCAGGACTAGTACACAGATCTTTTTGTTTTCATTTATCTGTCATCTGTCTGCCTCTCTGTCTGTCTATCCATCTATTTTATTACTTTATTTATAGCCTGAAATGTGTTCCCATGTTGTGATTATTAATATAATAACTGCGTGTTATGCATTTCTTGCTGTTCTCAGATTTGTGACAATTTATTTAATAGGAAATAAACTATTTATCTCGATGTTGTGTTTTTTATACAATGCCTTAGTGGGAATTAGGTAAAAAAATTTAACATACCATTGCTGCAGGACGGTGTTCACAAGATGCCCATAATGTCAGATTCACTCTACAAGCTAATACCACGTGCAACAACCAACAGGCTCATGCCTTTCTTTGAATAAAGAACTTTGCCAATTTTTAGTTGTTTAAAAAAAAAAATATTACTTTCAAGAAGATGATGACACCCACTCTAAATTTTCTGGATATGTCACGAAATTACAAAATCACGAAAAGCCAATTCCCCAAGGTTAAGGCAACTCCCATATCCTATTAGACTTCTACGTTCCCACAATATCAATGCACTTTGGTAATCTATCCACCTGTTAATACCTGTGGATAAAGACAAGTTGTCCTTTAAGGGGTAACGTAATACCCATACGACTATTGTCTGTAAAATATGTTGTATATAATACAACATATAGAGATACAGTAATTCTGACATTTTGTCGTGGACACAAACGCAAGTTGCTTAAAGCCAATTCTACACAAAGAAGATGGCAACATTTCAATTAGAACAATAGAATTATTTATCTTTATAGATCATATATAGAACATGATCATGATAATGATCTCTGTGCCTGACTACTAATAAGCATATAATTTGTTACTCACTGACTGTCTCAAAAACATTCCTTTTTTTTTTTTTTTAAATATGAACATTCTAGATTGTAACTGTCACTTCCAAAATAACTCTTTTGTAAATGACGTAATTTTCTAAGTTAAGATTGATTTCTATTCTAGTGCATTAGGTTTCAATCAGTTTTCTGTGGTATGCAGGTCAAACCACCTCAAACAATGACGTCCGGTCTGCGATAGGGTCAATATACTTCTTCTGTTTTGTTTTTTAAATAAATGTTGCCATTGAAGCTTGGATTCCGATCTCTAAGTTAATTGAAACGGGTAAGTCAGTTTGGCTATGTATGTGGATCTATCTAGTAAGGGTTCAAGTAAATGTGACATTGATAAGCTGCTCATGCAGATAAATAAAATGTTAAAAACACCATTTAGGTGGCTTGCCCCTCCTTAACCCCCTAAAAGGTAATAAAACGTACACTATTTCCTGCGCCGCGCGGGTCTGAAGGCCCTGGCCCCGACCCATTCTACCTCCTTGCTGACATCATCTTAATTTATCATTTCAGCCAATCTGATGCTTTCCAATAGGGAAAGCATTGCATTGGCTGAAATCGGCAAGAGGGCAGGATGGGGCAGGGCCAAATGCCAATCAGCACCTCCTAATAGAGATGCATTGAATCAATGCATCTCTACGAGGAAAGTTCAGCGTATCTGTAACGGATCCCCTATACTCAAGCGGAGTATATCCGTACAGAGTCTCCCAAAATCCAAGTGTAGCCGAAGGTGTAGTGAATTTTAGCTCCCAATCCCCCAAACATGAGCTAAGACTTCATGAAGGGGTAAAACGATCTGTTTAATGGTGGCCACAGCTAGGTCTTTTAGGCAGGTCCTCCAGAAAGGGCTACTCCCACAGGGACCTTGTGGATGACTGAAACACAAGTTACAGTAACCAATCATTTTACAGTACAATATAAAATACACCCACATAAACAGTGAAATCCCTCCTCTCTATCCTGGAGATAATTGGATTAAGTGGCCGGAGTAAACTTAATTATCTCCAGGTAGAATTTTTTTTTCCATTTTACAAATGTAACAAAATACATTAAAATACATAACTTTTATTTTACCGAACGGAACCCCCACATTTGACATATCCCCACATAGCTTGGATCTGAGCGTTCAATATAGGCGAACAGCGCTCAGATCCCACGAACACACCGACTGTTCATTAGAAATATGCCCAAAATTAGCTCCATGGATTTAGTTATCTGGGTCGGTTCAGTTCGGTTGTTCTGAATGTACCGAAAGGCACGGCGTTTGTGTAAATTGAGACGAAGGGATGGAAGTTTGGCAGTCCCAGTGGTGTTCGTGGGAAATTGTGGCCGAAAATAGTTCCACACCATTGACGACCAAACACCGCTGGGCGTTTGTCAGTTTAAAATGGCCGCCGCCACGTGTTCATTCGAATATTTCTGGTTAACCACAGCTTCTAATTAACGGTCTACCTGTTCGGTAGTTTGTTCGGTTTTACCATAAAGGGAATAAAATAGTGCCAAATACACGAATGCCATACGAAACAAAGGGTCTGGGTATTGATAAAACAGGGGTTTTATCACAGTATCCCTCCATAGGGTGGATACACTGAATGGCAGTGCTGCACTCTGTGCAATAATGCGACAGAAAACACCTCCAGTGGCCATCTGGAGGTGTCCCTAGGGGGCAATGTAAACACTGCCTTTTCTCTGAAAAGGCAGTGTTTACATGAAAATGCCTGCAGTGAATGATTATACTCACCAGAACAACTGCATTAAGCTGTAGTTGTTCTGGTGACTATGGTGTCCCTTTAAGACATGCTGTTTCTTGTGCACCCCAGTCCTTTTCTTCCTGTACTTTTTTTCAAATATAGGTTTTGTTTAAATCAATGCCAAACAATTGAAATGAAAACAATTAACATAAAAAAACTGGGACATGTAGGCCAGATAGTCAGAGAATAACAATGTGGTGTAATAGAGAAACATAGTGCGGAATGACTGTAATAATATCCCCCAAGAGAGAACGTGTGATAGGATTCCATGACCTTTGATGTCAAGTGCTCAGATAGGCGATTTTAGCCTTGTAAAATTTAAAGCTGTATTTGTGTGTGTGTGTGTGCACTGTTCCTTAATCTGTATTTTGTACATATTTTGGTCTTTACCACAGCACCACTATTCAGATATGCATGTTCTTTGTGTCCCCCCCAATTCCCTTTTTACCTATGTATATTTGGAATCCAGACCAGACTCCTTTTGGGTTAAACATCCCTCCCATCCACTTTAGGTGGCACTTTGGAGGTGACCACAGGAAAGCATACATTGAGGAGAGCAGTTTAAAGGGATACTGTAGTACCAGGAATACAAGGCTGTATTCCTGGCACCACCAATCCCTCTGCCTCCCCACTCCCTCGTGCCCCCTCCTACCCTGTAAATAAAGAGTTAAAAACCCTTTATTTACTTACCTGATCCCAGCACCGATGTCCCTCGGTGCTGGGTTGAAGCTCTGCCCCCTCCCTTGTCTTGCGACGTGTGGTGGTCTAATGCCCATGCACATTAGACCTCCCCATAGGAAAGCATTGAATCAATGCTTTCCTTGGGGAAAAATCTGACGCTGGGTGTCCTCATGCAGAGCGTGAGGATGTCCAGCGTCAGATAACAGACCAAAAGTCTGTTTCGATTCCTGAAGCCCTCTAGTGGCTGTCTGGTAAACAGTCACTAAGGGCAAACTAAGAGCTGCAACATTGCAGCACTAGGTGGAAAATGGGCAGTGCACCCAGACCATTTCAATGAGCTGAAGTGGTCTGGGTGCCTACAGTGTCCCTTTAAGCAGTAAGTGTTGCAGTTAGCATGTTACTCTCCTGTTATAAACTTAGTGTAAGAGCCATCGGTATTGGGGTACTGTGACGTAGTGGTGAGCTTAACACAATATGGCCGTATGCTGTAACTGAATACCAATATTTGTTTGTAAGATAGGTGATTTTAAGCCACCTTGTAAAATTTTAAACTAAATTTTTTCTCATGTGTGCTGCTCCTTAACCCCTTAGTGACCAGACAGTTTTTCAATTTTCTTACTGTTAAGGACCCTCCCACCTCCTGGACAGCATCCATGTTGAAGCTGCCTTCAACATGGATGCTGTCCAGGAGGTGGGAGGGTCTGGGAGGGAGGGTCTGCTGGAGATTGGCCGGGATGTGTCAGCTGACCGGAGTTCGCCGCGAACGGTTCGTGGTGAACCGTGGCGAGCCGTTCGCGGGAAGTTCGCGAACGGTTCGCGACATCACTACCCAAAATCTGTTACGCATCTACAACCGTCAAAAAACACCCATGCTAAATAGTTTCTAAATTTTGTCTTGAGTTTAGAAATACCCAATGTTAACATGTTCTTAGCTTTTTTTGGAAAGTTATAGGGCAATATGTACAAGTGGCACTTTTTTCCAAAACATTTTTTTTTTTCAAAATTAATGAAAGCTACATTGTAACACTGATATCTGTCAGGAATCCCTTAATATCCCTTCACATGTATATATTTTTTAAAAGAAGACAGCCTAATGTATACCTTGGGGTATTTTTACTCTTTTCATGCAGCCATTTTACCACAAATCTATGCCAAATTTAAAAACAAAAATAAATAATTGGTGAATTTTTGTTTGAGACTCATAGTAATTTAAGAATACATGTAGTGAGAACTTTAAGGGTTACTGCCAAAGAACACCCCAATGTGTGTTCAGCAACATCTCCCAAGTACAGTGATACTTCCCATGTATAGGTGTGTCAGGTTCTTTTAGGGGGTAAAATACCTTATTGTGGGGATATTTATGGGATAATAATAGTAAACAGTTGAGAATTGCCCACTAATTCAATTCTCAGATCCCAAAGAACGTTTATCGTGTTAAGTGAAATGTATACCATATAAATAATATTCACAATGTATAAAAATAGATTTTATTTATGATAACCAATAATTAACAAATAATATTATGTAACATGCGTGACAATAATCAATGAATATTCAGTATAAATGGTATGCAATACAAAGAAATGGGTATTACGTTTCAATGGCTATTAACTCATTATCTGTCAAGACTTCTACGATTTATGACTAGCTTTCACACAGGCTGAAAGTGAAACTTTTCACAGAAGAACAGAATTCCTCAGAGTGCAGCGTAAGGTCGTAAAGTTTAGCAGACAGTTAGAATAACCCTTTCAATGCTGGCTAGATCTCCTAGGTAGTTAAGATCTATTCTTATGTAATTTTAAATAAAATAAAATTTAACCCAGTTCATTAGTCATTTTCTTAAAATCATCCAATAAGAGAATTTACCACATTATATAAGCAGATTTTTAATTTGTCTAAAAGATATCTATCTTAATTTAGAGCAAATCAATACACCTGGATAAAAACAGCGGTATGCTAACACGTGATAATATCACATCAATATATAATTATTCTTAATTCCACCTGCAGAATGGAATGTTTATAACTATATATTCTTAGTTAACTAAGATTTCTTAATATGGAAATCTGACCGTGCTTTATCCAGTCATATATAATGCTATTAATATAATTTAATTAATTTAATTTAATTAAATGAAACCAGTATAATTACCAGTTGAGTAGATATTTCATCCGATTGGTAGTCTCTCTGCATGGAGGTGTTGGTTAGAAAGTCAGTAAATTCTAAGTGTTAGAGTTTTAGGAGTAGAGTGTTAGTCTCAGATGTTGTCCGAGTTGGAATCCCCAAACTTCCAATTCCTCTCTCCTCTCCTTTGCATATCTTGCATCTGCCTCCTTCTCTCGTCTTTCTATCTTCCCTTTGTCTTAACTTTTAAAGGGCCAGACTCTCTGTACGTCATCAGTTGATAACCCAATAGAAGCACTAGAGGTGTGGTTATCTTCCAGATCGCAAATTAGTTATTTGGTCTGTAGAGGGCAGTCTTGTCCCACTAAACATACCTATCCAGGAAAGAGTTAACTTTTCCTGGTGGCTATTTTGACGTCATTTTGGCCTATCTAGATAGTGGCTATAACTTACGTATCCTTCAAAGATCAAAGGGGTTCTTAAATTTTGTCCAGACTATGTGTCTGCAAATCTGCTATAATTTCTGATATGACAGATCATGAACTAAGTTTACCCTTTTCCATACAATGGTACCTTATATATATAGACAGTTAAATATTAAATTTAATCTTCTCTGTCACAATTGTCTGGGTTTAGATTTGATTATATTCCATTAGCATTAGACAGTCTGTCCAACCCCCTTCCTTATCACTTGGTTTGTATATACTATGCATTCCTTAGCTCTGGCAAAGAGGCCAGTCTTACAGAAAGAAATCTAGTGTCTTCTTTGTTAACTTGAAATAACAAAATGGAGTCTGGTCTGTTCAGAGTGACTCAGAATATACACTTTTAGTTTCTATCATAGCACAAAATGTCTGCCGATATAAATACTCTGACATAACCCCCCTTTAGTGCATTTCATAGCCAAAATTAATTTAGCTTATGAATAAGCACTATAGAAGTTATCAGACATATTGTGCAATCACGTCATTTCTAACATAGGCCCGTGCGTGGAATGAACATTTTTGTATATATTTGTACCTGTAAAAGTTTTGAACTTTACACTTAGTACAATCAACCATAATATCATTATTAACATAGTACATTATTTTCATTTGAAAAATGTCTTTGGGAGTTACATATGGTATGGCCAATAAAAAGCAAATCTCCATACGTTCCGGATCAATTAAGAGAGGTATAGCGCTCCCCATCTCAAAGGCCAGATTTAATTGCATAGGCTCAATTGTCTCTCCATCCACATTGGCAAGCATCGCATGAACAATATCCTTGGATACAAAATACAGAGGTATGCGTCCCCCTGCCAATTCGATCATTCCAGTTTGCACTTCGTCGAGAAAAGCAAGTGTGTGGAACAATATTGGGTCATGCAGAAATAGAAGTTCACGCTTAAATAAGTCATGACTTTGGTGCAACTCAGTGGATTTGGCAATTAATTCCGAATGCAAATTTGTTGTAACAACTGTGTCTTCCACAATAGTTAACACGTCTTGGAGAAGTGTTCTTTGCTGTTGTATCACCTGATGAATATCGTTAATGTGTTGCTTTAGCGCATAGATTTCCATATCCAGCTTTTGGACAGTAATAGAGTTGGCTGCAGACATTCCAGTTGCAACAACTGCACCGACAGTGGCACAAACTAATGCAACAATTATAGCGGTGAGGAACCTTTTGGGTCGGTTGCTCATCGGAATAGAACTGGATACAAATGGTTTCCGGGCTTGCTCCAAGATGTTTCGCACACGGTCCTGTGCTCTTTGGAGGTGCATCTGGTACCAAGTCTGTAACTCAGGAAGCTGCATCGATGAAATGTTGTATGCCTTCTCGATGGAAATCTTGGGGTCCAAGCTGATGAACACACGTCTGGTCAGGATCCTCTTCTCTGTTAAGATGAACCCTGGTGTCTCTTGAATCAGGATGCCGGAGGATGGTCCCATCTCTGCGATCGGGTCGGTCCGTAGCTCTTGGCACAGGAGCAGTACGATCCAGAAACACGCCACATCCTTCTTGGACATCCTTCGACAGTCACGGATCAGGAACTCGTTTCAGACTTATCTACTAATGATTCAAGGTTTGTTAAGCATATAAACTTATAACAGTGTGACATCACTTGGCCTAGGACAACACATTATTACGATTCATCAACATATGTATTCTGTCTAATTCTATTTTTATAACTTCATCCCTCACTACATTTATTACTGACTCTTCAGCAATTTGCCTATAGCAGTTAAACAAGCTAGTAACCTGCTTATAAAATGTAGTTATTGGATGGCAAGGAAATGGTTAATGACATGAACGTACATGAGATCATGGCACATCACAACATTTCACATCATACTATACCACGTGAATCAAGCATTCATCCAGGTTAGTCGTTCACCCTTCTGCGTCTGAATCCACACCTATAATCCTTAATTGAGATTTAGGATGACAAGCACGCAACTGGTTAATGTGAACCCACTTTTCAATAAAATCACCATCCTTAGGAATTTTTATCTTATACGCTACAGGGGAAATTTTGTCAATAATGACATATGGCCCTTTCCAAGAAGGTAAAAATTTCTTTTCCTTGACTTGATTTCGCGCAAAGTTATACAGATAGACTTGATCTGTGATTTCATATTCCTTTTTCGTGGTTTTTAGATCGTAATAGGTCTTCACCCCTGTCGCTGCTTTTTCTAGATTCTTTTGGGCAAAAGCAAACGCATGCTGTAAATGCTTGCGCAAATCTTCGATATACTGATGCGTAGTGGCAGCATTGATCAAGTTATGATCCGAAGTACGATATAGTAAATGCTGTGGTAAAACCATCTTTCTTCCTGTCATCAATTCAAAAGGTGACAATTTGGTAGCAGTGCTAGGTGTGGCTCTAATCGCCATTAAAACTAGGGGCAATTTAATGTCCCAGTCTTTACCAGACTCCTTAACATACTTCTTCAGAATATTAACGATAGACTGGTTATATCGCTCTACCCCCCCGCTAGACGCAGCGCGGTATGCAATATGTAGCTTTCGTTTAACACCTAGAATGTTCCACATCTTAGCCATTACTTCGCTGGTAAAATGACTACCTCTGTCTGACTCAATTCTTTGAGGCAGACCGAACCTGGAAAAGACATGGTTAATCAACAAAGTGGCGCACACGGTACTCGTGTTCTCTTTACAAGGCAAACATTCTATCCACTTTGTGTACATACATGTAACAGTTAACATGTATTTGTTACCTCTTGAAGATCTTGTTACAGGACCTATAAAGTCAATTTGAATATCAGACCAGGGTAATGACACCCCCCTCTTCTGAAGTGGTGCACGATGGGTTGGACCATGGGGTTGATATTGCGGACAAATCAAGCATCCCTGACAGTATGTCTTAACATCCCTTAACATGTGTGGCCAATATGCATAATCACGCAATATCTCATATGTGATCTTATCACCACGATGCCCAGATGTAGGTGCATCATGTGCGTGTTGGAGCATTAACCCTCTGTATACAGTTGGGACTACCCATTGTTGTATACCATGTTTAGAAGTTCTGACCAGCAACCCATCCATGATACTAAATTGGACTTTATATCTCATCAAGATTCGTAAATCTTCATTATCTTTGCAATCCTCATCTGTGATGGGATTGGCAGTAGGGTCTTCTATATGTTTATAGAATATGCCTATGACGGGATCATTCTTTTGACTGGTAATCAGGTCCTCACTAGGAGCTTCTTGACTCCATTGCACGACGTTTAAGTCGGCATTATCTCTAGCCTGTCGTCTGGTTATGGCTTCAACATGAATTGAACCCATAAGATCATCAATGTTTAGGGTTTCACCATTGATGGCAGCTTGTTTTGCCAGTGAATCGGCTAAATCATTACCATCCTTGTCAATACCTTCTATTTTAGAATGGCCTTTGGTTTTCTTCCAATATATGGTTAAACCATTTTCCTTAACCAACTCATCGATTTTACAAAACAATTTCCCATGTTTAACAGGTTTGTTATTGCTCTTCAGCATTTGGTTACGTTTCCAGCTAGGCAGATATTCGACGAAACTGTTGCGAACATAGTTGGAATCAGTTATAATAACAAATTCTTTGATACCATATTCTATTGCCATTTGAATGGTCTTATATACTGCACAGAGTTCGGCTATCTGACTGCTTTTGGGACCAATATTGTATCCTATAGATACATTAGGATAATCACCTGTCCAGGCGATTCCGATACCTGCAACTAACTTCCGTTCAGTACCAACTACGTGGTGATATGAACAACCATCAATGTATACCCACGGTAGTGGTCGACAGTATTCCTCGTCATAAACTTTATAAGGAGATAGCAATTGCTCTTCTAGGAAGTCATCTCCGGTGTCATTATCATTCAGAGATGGAGCAGTACAGTCATGTAATTCTGCTAAACCTTGGGCAACTGGGCTTCTCTTATTATGTTTATAACGGACTTCTAACGGCCATCCCTGTAAGGATAGAGTCCATGCAGTAATCCGACTGTTAGAGAGATTACCGTCTCTAATTCTTTCACTCTGCAGATACTGTAGAGGTTGGTGAGCTGTTTCTACAATTATTTTCTCACCTTGGATATAGCTACGAAAATTTTGTAGTGCCCAGACAGTCGACAATAACGCCTTCTCACACGTGTTGAATTTAACTTCAACAGGTGACAAAGTCTTGCTAGCATATGCAATAACCTTGTTTAAACTGTCCTGCTTCTGATACAGAACAGCACTTATGCTTAAATCTGTATATCCTGTCTCCAGATAGAAGGGTTTACCCCCCTCTGGGTATGCTAAACAGGGTGCCTGAGTGAGCTTCCTCCTCAGTTCACTTACCGCTTGGTCCTGAGGCTCCCCCAGTTCCAGGTAGTTTCCTTTTTAAGCAGGTGTAAGAGTGGTTTAGTTATTTCTGCATAGTTATCTATAAACTTACGGGAGTAGTTAGTCATACCAAGGAACGATCTTAATTCCCTGATGTTTGAAGGTGTTTTAGCCTTTAGTACGGCTTCAACCTTCTTCCTCTGGGGATTTAATCCTTCAGAAGTTACCTCATGTCCGAGGAAATTGACATGGGTGCGACACCATTGCGCCTTTTGTAAAGACAGTTTAATCCCTGCCTCTCTTAACTGAGTGAGAACATGTCTAATCTCTAAGATATGCTTATCAAAGGAAGTGCTTTTCAGCAAGACATCGTCGACATATGATAACGTTCCTCTCTCGAGTGCGTCAGGCATAGCTTTATGCATGAACACAGCGAATTCATGACCAGAGTTTATGTAACCGAAAGGCATACGGGTCCAGGTATACTGCTGCTTTCCAAATGTGAAGGCCAATTTATATTGGTCTTCATTATGGACTGGTACAGTCCAATATCCCTGCGCACAGTCAATGGCAGTGAATATTTTGGATCCCTGCATTTGTACCAAACATTGGTCTATGTATGGTGTTGGCCAACCAGACATATAGACGCGTTTGTTTAGCTGTCGTAAGTCAGCGCATAAACGCCATTGTCCATTAGGTTTCAGAATCCCCAAGATCGGATTATTATACGAACTGTGCACTGGACGTATAATGCCCCTTTCCTTTAAATTCTGAATGATGTCTTGTAGACCATCATATGATGCTAATGGGAGTCTATATTGTTTGATAAATACAGGTGGTAAATTTGGATCAGTTTGTATTCTGGCTACGTGGAGGTTAGTTAACCCACAGTCGTAGGAATCTTTGGCAAAAATATCTTGGAATTCCAAAAGGACTTCCTTTAGCTGCTGTCGCTCAGCATCATTGGAGCAACCGTCAGCTAAAGATATTTGCTCTTCTAGCCTTTCCTGAAATCCTGGAAAGATTTCAGGCTGGCCTATCTCATAAGCTTCTTCAAGCCTAGAAGTTAGGTCAGTTCGGTGTTGACTTACCTTTTCTCTTTGGTCGTGATACTCTTGTGATTCCTGCTCATCGAGCGGATGATCGAAGGTGATTGATGCTTCTTCGATTTTACACGAGCCTTCTTCAACATTGAAGGGATACACAGATAGGATAGTGAATAATCCTTCTGGGGAGGAATGGAATATTTGATCGACAATTTCGTCCTCAGTTAAGTATTCTTCAGGGATGAGGCCTATAATTTGGTTTTGGAAACCAAATGTATAGTACTCAGCATCCAATGCTAGACCTAATAATGTTCCTTTTGGTAAAGTAACACTATTGGGTGTAACATTCTTGACCATGATATAGGTGGGATTCTTACCAATACTTACCATTGGTGTATGTGTTACCACCATCCCTAATTGTTGTATCCTGTTGGATAAACAGATTAGGGCATCAGAGTTTTCCAATCTCTGACCCTCCTTGACCTGTAGGGGTAAAAGAAAATTACTTGTCCCCTGTGGAATGGTTATGTCATCAGGAACTTGGATACTTACCGCATATGGGAGTATTTGTCCTGATTTCAGGGCGTTTTCCTCGTGTAGGTATCCACAAGGATTACCTTTTAACCTTGTCCACAAGTTGGAATTAATCAGGTCAAGGTGTATGGCAAAGCGATGTATGACATCATTGCCAACGTAAACCTGATAGCGAGGTTCGTTTATCACTAAGAATAAATGTTTAACTGTCTTATTTCCGATGGAAATAGATAGTAAACATTTTGCTATCACATTGTGACTCTCTGATTCGCCATCCAGATTCTGGATCCACCTGTCATGTGGGGAAGCGTACCTGATCATTTTAGGATTAGCGATCTGCTTTAACAGACTTCTGCTAATATAGCTGTTCTCACTCTGTAAATCCAGCTTTGCATTCCTACTTCTTCCTAAGTCATTTATTTGCATAGGAAAGAATAAGTTGTTATTAACCCTTTCAATTCTGGCAAGGAATTGAGCATGACCTGCCAGATCTACAGATTCAACATAGTCCCTGTGGAGAGAAATGGTTAAAACATCACCTTCCAGAGAGACATTCTGGATCCTCTCTGGAGCAATTCTTACGGAATGCTCATCTACAGGTGCGATTGCATCATTCACCTGCAGGATAGTCACGTCAGGTGACTGACTATTCCTAAAATGTACCTCAATCGAGTCAGGTCTTTCATCTATCACATGGCAGTTACGATCAGATTGTACATGTGATTTCTCATAGGTTATGGGAACCTTAGCTTGTGACCATACAATTCCATTTACACAGTCAATAATCGTGTCAAGTCTTCTGAGTATGTCTATACCCAGAATCAGTCGGTCATAGGGGAGATCTACCACTATCACCGGGTGTCTAAAGGTTTTGTTACCTATTTTAAACTTTAACCAGGTATTGCCAATAACATGAAGGGCATTTCCTCCTACACTCAACAGAGCATTGGGGAAACCTCTTAGCTTCGGCTTATCCGTTGCTAAGTCCATTACCTGCTGGAAGTAGGTATTGGATAAGATAGTGGCTTGTGAACCAGTATCTATTAACCCTTTAAAAGGCTGGGGTAGCGAATCCTGTATTTCTACAGACATGTAGTACCTTCCTTCATGTTCTTCTAATTCACATAAGAATTTAGAATGTGTCAACATATTACTTGTTTTCCATACATTACCGGTCACAGCAGTAGTTTCTACCTGTACTGAGGAATGCTCAGTCTTACCCACAGGCCCATCCTTCTTAGGAATATCTTGAACTGTCAAGCGGGAACTAGTGGTCGGCATCTCATCAGTTAACCCTTTCAGGTCTGGATCCTGGAAACTTGTGGCTGCTGGGGCTATTTTAGCCTTTGGCTGAAATGAAAAAACAGAGGAACACGTCGCGCCTCCTTCACCCGGAAGTGAAGTGACGGTATAGGCAATAGGTTTTCTAACACAACTATTGTTTGTTTGACTGTTAGTACTTGGAAAGGAAACAGGGTTAGGCATTACATCTACTGATAACCTAGCCTGTTTAGTCACAGTGGCTATTATTGCTGCGGCACCTGTTGTTGTTGCTGCGGTTGCACAGGTAGTTCTGCAATTGGAGCTATCCCTAAAAAAGGATTGAGAGCAAAGACTTGGTTGATCTTTGTCATTTCCTCCATTAATTTGCCCATCTGGTCTGTCAATTGACCAACCTGACGACGCAAATTATTTCCCCCATTGCCGTTTTGTCTTTGCCCATTAGAATTTGGCTGGGATGGCTGAGACTGTTGGGAGTTATTGGAAGCAGATTGGTTGTTTCTTTTTCCATATCTCCTATTTCCCTGAGGATTCCTTCTCCATTGGGAATTGCCTTGGTTCTTATTTACCCAGGGGCGTTTATTCCCATTGGCATTGGATTTCTCAGAGTTATTAGAGGAATTTGCAGAATTGCTTCTAGCGTTTTCCTGTTTCTGAGGTTTTGGAGTTTTCAAAACCTCGGAATAGGTCCTCTTTTTCTGTTGGGTTTCTAAACCTAACTGAATTTTAGTCTCTGACACCATTTTATCACCAGGTTTCTTAACCTTTGGCTGATTTTCGTCATGTGCATGGTGTATAGTGTACAACTTCATGCATTGACTGACTAGCCATTCTAATGGTAACTTACAATCGTAATCTCTTGCGAGATTCATTTGTATGTTTACCGGCATGGCATGAAAATACAGATCTTTGAAGTCTGTGCTTTCATACCTGGGTTTTCTTTGGGCCACGGAGTATGCATTTTTAAGAATTATTAAAAATTCTCTGGGGCTTTGATCTGGACGGCACTTTAAGTTATAAAGCGCCTTCTTTGCAGAGGCAATGGTTTTATACTTACCATATTCCATGATTATTTCATATTTCATCTTGGACCAGGACATTAACTGTATAGCTTGAAGACTTTCTAGATAAACACGGCACATTGAATCAAAGGTCCATGTAATGAACCATTTCTTATGAATGTCATCATACATGCCCAATGAATTCATTGCTCTATCATAATTTTCCAGATGTTCAGATATGTTTCCTGAACCTCTAGAAAATTGTGGGACAGTCTCTCTAAGGAATTTGATGACCTTTGGTGTTTCATAAACAGGCGTCGTTGATTTACGATCTCTGTTTCTGTGTTTGGGTAAACGTCTATGCGATCTGTCTGCTGAAGAGGAATTAGACCCGTACAACAGTGCAGATGGCATATCAGTTACATGGCCTTCAGAGTGGATAGTGCAATCACTTTCACTCCCATCACTCTGAGCTTCTTGTTCACTGTCACAATTCTGATCAGCATCAGAATCCTGCCAGTGTACAGAACCATGTCTGTTTTCATTCCTATCATCTTGAATTGGACTCTCCCTCTCAAGTTTGGCCAAGACAGCTTTTTCAAACTGTTCTGCCCAAGATTGCCAAGGTGGCTTGGTAATGTCATGAGATGGGGAATCTTTTTCCATAGGTGATTTTTTAGAATTACTCACACCTTTACTTACAGACTGTTTTATGAAAACCTGGTTTGGTGTGGGAAAATCATAATAAGGAGGGGATTTACAGATAGTCTTTTCTTGCATTTTTGTGCAACTTTTTGGCACAGAATGATGACTACCAACCTCACTGTCTAATTTCTGACTCTCCTTTTCATACTCATCCAATTGCATTTTAAGCTGATTTATTTCCTGTGCATATTTATACATCAAAGCTTCCATTTCTTTTTCATGATCAGCCTGACGAGTTTTATGCTCAGCAAGTAAATCTTGGTATTTCCCATTTTGAATGCCCAAATCGTCACTGTACGTGTCCAATTTGGCATTCAATGACTTGTTTTCATCACACACCTTAAGAAGTGCTGTCATAAAGAAAGGCCAAGAGTGTATTATGAATGCCATTTTCCTTTCTATGTTCTTTTGTTCAGCAATTTCTTTAAGATATATGATGATGTGTTCATCAGTTAGAATGGTGTGTTTAGCTTCCCATTCTATGCTTTTCAACCAAACCTCATAGGTTGCATCATTTTTCATATGTTTATGAATATGAACTAGAGCATGTTTTCTTAGGTCTTCAATTATTTCAGTATTATCTGTTACAGATTTATCACTGCCACTGGCCATTTTTATTTTTATTTTATTGATTAATCTCAATACAAAACTCTTTTCTATATTAAGATTAAATTGCATGAATTACACCAATATTATTATTATATATGAAATACAATTTCAACTTAAACGATCTCAGCACCGTGCCTCCAATATGTGGGGATATTTATGGGATAATAATAGTAAACAGTTGAGAATTGCCCACTAATTCAATTCTCAGATCCCAAAGAACGTTTATCGTGTTAAGTGAAATGTATACCATATAAATAATATTCACAATGTATAAAAATAGATTTTATTTATGATAACCAATAATTAACAAATAATATTATGTAACATGCGTGACAATAATCAATGAATATTCAGTATAAATGGTATGCAATACAAAGAAATGGGTATTACGTTTCAATGGCTATTAACTCATTATCTGTCAAGACTTCTACGATTTATGACTAGCTTTCACACAGGCTGAAAGTGAAACTTTTCACAGAAGAACAGAATTCCTCAGAGTGCAGCGTAAGGTCGTAAAGTTTAGCAGACAGTTAGAATAACCCTTTCAATGCTGGCTAGATCTCCTAGGTAGTTAAGATCTATTCTTATGTAATTTTAAATAAAATGAAATTTAACCCAGTTCATTAGTCATTTTCTTAAAATCATCCAATAAGAGAATTTACCACATTATATAAGCAGATTTTTAATTTGTCTAAAAGATATCTATCTTAATTTAGAGCAAATCAATACACCTGGATAAAAACAGCGGTATGCTAACACGTGATAATATCACATCAATATATAATTATTCTTAATTCCACCTGCAGAATGGAATGTTTATAACTATATATTCTTAGTTAACTAAGATTTCTTAATATGGAAATCTGACCGTGCTTTATCCAGTCATATATAATGCTATTAATATAATTTAATTAATTTAATTTAATTAAATGAAACTAGTATAATTACCAGTTGAGTAGATATTTCATCCGATTGGTAGTCTCTCTGCATGGAGGTGTTGGTTAGAAAGTCAGTAAATTCTAAGTGTTAGAGTTTTAGGAGTAGAGTGTTAGTCTCAGATGTTGTCCGAGTTGGAATCCCCAAACTTCCAATTCCTCTCTCCTCTCCTTTGCATATCTTGCATCTGCCTCCTTCTCTCGTCTTTCTATCTTCCCTTTGTCTAACTTTTAAAGGGCCAGACTCTCTGTACGTCATCAGTTGATAACCCAATAGAAGCACTAGAGGTGTGGTTATCTTCCAGATCGCAAATTAGTTATTTGGTCTGTAGAGGGCAGTCTTGTCCCACTAAACATACCTATCCAGGAAAGAGTTAACTTTTCCTGGTGGCTATTTTGACGTCATTTTGGCCTATCTAGATAGTGGCTATAACTTACGTATCCTTCAAAGATCAAAGGGGTTCTTAAATTTTGTCCAGACTATGTGTCTGCAAATCTGCTATAATTTCTGATATGACAGATCATGAACTAAGTTTACCCTTTTCCATACAATGGTACCTTATATATATAGACAGTTAAATATTAAATTTAATCTTCTCTGTCACAATTGTCTGGGTTTAGATTTGATTATATTCCATTAGCATTAGACAGTCTGTCCAACCCCCTTCCTTATCACTTGGTTTGTATATACTATGCATTCCTTAGCTCTGGCAAAGAGGCCAGTCTTACAGAAAGAAATCTAGTGTCTTCTTTGTTAACTTGAAATAACAAAATGGAGTCTGGTCTGTTCAGAGTGACTCAGAATATACACTTTTAGTTTCTATCATAGCACAAGATGTCTGCCGATATAAATACTCTGACATTATGGAGGGGGTGCATTCCAGTTTTCCAACTTGGAATTTTCACAGCTGGTCATCATGCACCCATGTCCCATTTGGAACATTTTTGAAGCCAGCCAATGTAATTTACCCCATCAATTTACCCCATTTAACAATATATTTTTGAAACGTAGACACCCTAGGGTATTTCAAATGGTGGTATTTAAACACTTTCCATGCACTAATTCTACCACCAATCTTTGTCAAACGTTTGGGTAGTCAATTTTTTGTGTTTTTTTTCTCTCACATTATACTTTAGGCATGGATTCTCAGTTCCTGTTATGTGTTACTGACAAAGAACACCCTAATATGTGTTCGGCAACATCTCCTGAGTATAACAGTGCCCCCAATGTACAGGTTTTATGGATTTTTTCAAATTTGCCAGATTGGTTTCCTGCGCCTATGTTGCCTTTGAGACCGTATAGCAGTCCAGGAATGAAAATTAACGCCATCATGACATACCATTTGTAAAAGTAGACAACCCACCATATTCAAAATGGGGTATGTCCAGTCTTTTTTAGCAGTTACTTA